AGGGCAGCATCCAGCGCGCGGATGGCGCTCAGGAAGTGCGGGCTGTACTCGAGCAGCTCGGCGCCCATGCGGGCCCACTGCGCACCCTGGCCCGTGAAGACGAAGCCGACGGTGGGGGGCTTGGGGCCGCGCTTCTTGCCGTCGGCGAAGGTGAAGGAGGCGGCGATGTTGCCGAAGGCGTCGTCGAGGGTCTCGTGGCTGGCCACGGTGAAGCCCTTGTTGAGGAGGACGCTGCGGCGGTTGGAGAGAGTGTACGACAGGTCGAGAAGGTTGTACTGGGAGACCACCTTGGCGTGGGCGTCGAGGTTGCGCAGCAGCGTGGGCTTGTCGTGGGCCGAGAAGGGCAGGAGGAACGGACGGCGGCGGTGGGCGGCACGGCGCGGCATCGCCGACTTCTGGCCGCTGTTGGTGTTGTCGTCTCGGAACCGGTACTGCTGCCGGGGCATGTTGCGGAGGAGCGAATCCGCGTTTTCGACGATGGCGTGGGCGTTGGTGCCGCCGTAGCCGAAGCTGTTGATGGAGACACGCCTCACGGGAAGATGAGCCGGGAAAGGCACGGCCTCAGTCGGGGCCCGGACCTTCCACTCGTCCCACTTGATGGCAGGGCTGGGGTTGACGAGGCCCCTGACGGGCGGGATGACACCGCGCTCCACCGTGAGGATGGCCTTGATGAGGGCAGACAATCCGCTAGCAGCCTCACTGTGCCCGATGTTTGTCTTGACGGCGCCGATCAACAGCGGCTCTTCACCGGGCTGGCGGTTCTTGTTCATGGCGATAGACACGGCGTGCACCTCAAGCGGGTCACCAACCGCCGTGCCTGTTCCGTGGCACTCGAAGTATCCAGTAAGCCGGGGGTCGAGGTCGCCACCACGCTCATATGCATGAGCGATAACATCGGCTTGCCCCTCACGGTTGGGGTGCGTGATACCAGCACCCGGAACCTTGCCGTTGGAGTTGACGGCACTGGAGCGGATGACACCACGGATCGGATCACCGTCACGGATAGCATCCGAAAGGGGCTTCAGGTAGACGGCACCAGCGGCATCGGCACGGCCGTAGCCATCGGCGCTAGCGTCAAACGTATGACAGGTCGAGGTCGGGGAAAGGACACCGAGCTTGGCCGTGTTCATGTGTTGGTCGACCGTGATGATCAAGTTGACACCGGCGACGATGGCGGCATCGGCTTCGCGGTTGCGAAGGGCATTGCACGCGTTGTGGAGAGCGTACATGGACGACGAGCAAGCCGTATTACAAAGAATGCTGGGACCGTTCAGGTTGAAGACGTGGCTAATACGGTTGCTGATGATACCGGGGTCGACACCCGTTGCGGCGAGGTTGTGACGGAACGAGTGCTCCTTGAAGGCCATCTGCTGCCAGTCGGCAGTGAAACTAGCCGCGAACACACCCGTCCGCGTGCCTGAGATTTTTTCCAACGGGATACCACCCGACTCCAGGGCCTCGTAGACGACTTCCAGGAGCTTCCGCTGCTGGGGGTCCATCCACATAGCTTCGATTGGTGTGATGCCGAAGAGACCCGGGTCGAAGTTGGACAGGTCATCTTTGAGGAAGTATCCGCCGAGAACACCAAAGCTTCCCGGACGGTCGTTGTTATCGTGGAAGTGGGCATCGATATTGAACCTGTCAGCCGGCACCTTGGGAGTCTGACCAGTCCGCTTGTTCATCATCATATCCCAAAACCCCGCGGGGCTCCGGACTTCTCCCGGTAGGTGGCACCCTGTCATAGCACTTGTCAGCTACCAAGGTTTCCCAAAAGACTATCTCGTGAAGTGTCCTACCCATGCCGACCACGGCGATTGGCTCGAGCTGTTTGTCGAGCGGCTGTTCCGCATAGCCCGGAAAGGTGACAGCGGGGTATTCGTCATATTCCGGCACGGCAGCCTTCCTCGTCGGGCTACCATCGTACGAGTCCCTCGAGGACGGCCTCGAGGAGGAGGAGGTGATGCGGCCAGGCATGGTGGATGGAGCTTGAGGGAGTGGTGCTGCTGTTCAAGCGTGGTCTGGTAGTGTGGATGGAGGTGGAGGATGGTCTGGAACCCTGCTTCGGTGGGAGGAAAGGAGAAGAGCTGCTCGAGTTAAATCATACGATCTGACAGCTGATTCTGTATATGTACTCAGCCGTGATTGGGGCCGTCTACTCCGTCCGGACCGCTTATCAGCGACATATCCTCGACACGGAGCGTCAGACCCGGCCTCGATGGCGAGAGCAACACGATTACCCGAATAGGAAAGACCGGGCTTTCTCAGATTCCTAATGTGAATACCGAATCGTGATCCCCTCATTGGTTGTCATGAAGGTGCAGTGTGCTTATCCTGTCCGGCCGCCCGCGGGCCGAAACGGCCGAGCCCATGGTGGTTCGACGCACACCCATGGCGAAGCACCCCTGCCGTTCGGGCTCGGGAGACATCGGCGCGCTGCATAACCGTTGTCAGGCCATTGCCCGCATGGAATCAAGCTTCTCGGTCTTCGGGATCCGGCGCGGCGATGTTACCCAACCCCTTCGAGCCGCCGGCCGACGAGGTACGTGCTTCGAAGGATGCCCCCGTTACTTCCCACCGTCGCCATACTGCAACTCACTTTGACGAAGATCCGCCCTGCCCTCTAATGACCGGCTCCATCAAAAATTTACAGCTCAACGCGGAATATCCTGGAAACCAGAGCATCCCTTGCGATGGCAGCCGAACAGGTTGATGTTGTGGTAGTTGGTGCCGGTGAGTATAATTCACTTCCATACCTAGTATCAAAGTGACTAACACCTTTGATTATCTCTGGATAGGCTGGAATGGCCTCATTAACGCGAAAACGTACCTCGACCTAGCCCCTGAGACCAACCTGATCATCATAGACCAGGGTACATCGTTTGGCGGCGTCTGGGGTGCAGACAAGATCTATCCCAGCCTCTATGCGCAAATCAAGTTTGGCCAGTTTGAGTACTCGTTCTACCCTATGCGCCGCGAGGGCATTACAAAAGACGGCTACATCTCGGGCGAAACCATCCACCGGTATCTCACGGATTTCGCACACGATTTCCACCTCGCAGAGCGGACTCGCTTCAACACGTCCGTTACAAACGTCACTCGGCTACCAAACGGTCGAGGTTGGAGATTGGACGTCGAAGGCGAGGGCAGCAAGGTGGTCGAGTGTACAAAGTTGATCTACGCCTCGGGGGCCACCTCGCATGCCGTGATCCCCAGGTGGCCGAAGTCCAACTTTGACGCGCCCATCATCCATTCTCAGGAGACGGGGACACATCTGGGTGCCTTGGCCAAAGCCAAGCGCGTAACCGTGCTTGGGGGTGCCAAATCGGCTTTTGACACCGTCTTTTTCCTGCTGGACGCCGGAAAGAAGGTTGACTGGGTAATCCGACCCGATGAGTCCGGATCGGGGCCTGTGGCACTCATGCCACCAACCATCTTTGGTATTGTCAACAGCATGGATGTGATCGCGACGAGATTCATGGCCACCATCGGTGCCAGCATCATGGCCACCGAGGGTCCAGGGTATCGTTTCTTCCACCAGACAAGCGTAGGAAGAATGTTGGGGCGGCAGTTTTGGAAGCTGGTCAACAGCATTGCCGAAAGGCACTCTGGGTACAGCAAGACACCGAATGCAGAGAAGTTGAGACTGCTTCCCCATGGAAATGGGTAAGTTCTGCATGACCCGACTCCAATCTCGGCACTGCCCGCAAGGCACAACAAGGCTGACAACAAACGTGTAATCCTCATACAGAATCTTCTGGGCAAATGCCGGTCTCGGAGCCGCGAGTGTACCCAACTTCTGGAAGGTCTTCCACGCCGGGGACTGCACGGTCCACAGAACGGGCATCAAGTCCTTCATCGACAACAAGGTCCATCTCGACAACGGCACCCAAGTCGAGACCGACTACGTGGTCCTGTGCACCGGCTTCGACAAATCGTACCACACCTTCAGCCCCGAGCTGCAGCGGACGTTCGGTCTCACCACCGACCTCGACCCGGCCGACAAGGAGCGATGGGCCAAGGCCGAAGCGCGCGCCGAAGAAGCCGTCGACCACAAGCTGCCCACGCTCCGCAACCCCCCGCTCAGCTCGGGCCAGGTCGAGAGCAGCGCCCACCGCGAGGGCGGCAGCAACCACGGCCCCAGCCGCCACTACCGGCGTCTGATCGTGCCGGGCATGGCGGCCTCGGGCGACCGCTCCATCGTCTTCCCCGGCTTCATCCACTCCATCTACACGCCGATGGTGTCCGAGGTGCAGGCCCTGTGGGGCACGGCCTTCCTGCTCGGCCTGCTGGACCCCCCGGGCCAGGCCGAGATGGAGCGGGAAGTGGCGGAGTGGAATGTGTGGGCCCGTAAGCGATATCCTGCACAGGGGCGGAAGCACGCTTATGCTATCTTTGACTTCCTGTCTGTAAGTAATCGCCCAATCCGGCCTAAGCACGGATCCTTCCGAGAAGTGGAAAAACAACTTACTCACACTGTGTTGCCAATAGTACATCGACACGTTGCTCAAGGACCTGGGCATCAACACCAGACGCAAGCAGAACGTGCTGGCCCACCTCTTTCTGCCCACGTACCCGAGAGACTTCCACAATCTGCTCGAGGAATTCAAGGAAGCGCAGGAGAAAGCGAAGCTGCAGCAGTCAGGTATGACTCTTGAAGCAGCGCCCGGGACGACGTCTGTGTCGGGAAGCTTTGTGCTCCCCGTGGTTATTTTCCTTGTCATTGCTGTGCCGTTGGCAACATGGCTCCGCGCTGGCACCTACTGATACGTATGTGCCAGGCCTGTGATGTCGGAGGATATCAACGTAGATTAAAGAGGAACGAAAGAGATTAGTTTGCTATTATTTCGTGCGAGGAAACTGCGTGGTGATGAGGGTGTCTAGACTGGAGTCAAGCTTCGAGCTTTAGCGGGGGCGGGGTGGCCAGGTAGAGTGATACAAGCTGGAAGAGCATAATCGCCTGAATCTGACATACGTTGAGGTGACGTGTGGTCCTCTCGCTTAGATTGATCGAAGAACGCCGAACTGAGGCGGGTAAACTCCTGTAATTGACGGACGTTGGTGGCCACATGTGTCTCAACGTCTGGGATACAATCGACCTCAACGCTAGGACACGCAGCAACCAACTCATGAACGGAAGTTAGGTGCAACACTCAACTAGTATAAGAATAGTTGTGAGTCTGGCGAGCCTCTAACTACCGGCCCACCCAGTGGAACCACTCTCATGGCTGTAGCATCAAGTATAACTAAGGAATGTTACCCACACTGGTATAGTAAGATGAAGGTTCCTTGAAGGACTCAAGAACTTATCAGTGCTGTGATAATGATGAAACGCCACAACATCTGGGGAGAAAGGATGGGCTGAATAAAGGAAAAGGCCCATTTTAGCTCTTGTGGACTTACGTATAATATTCCTGATGCAGCCTGCTTGAAACAAAACTGGTGGTTTAATTCATACCTGTGTATCAACCTAGTGCTAAATGGGTACATGTAGAGATTGCTACCTCGGGTTTTCTCTCAGTAGTCATCTCACACACGAAGAATACTACAATTAGGCTCATCAATTTTGTCTAAGTTAGGTCTTGTTGACGTGCTCCGTACGAGACAGGCGGTAAAAGCCAGTTCTCGGGAATTAATCAAGAGTTGGCGTCGTGGCACTTTGCAAACCAGAGATCAGAACAAAACCTGGGCCCGACCAACAATACACAATACACCACCCATTGCCAAAGTTCAAAAGAAATACAACTCTAAATAAATTAAACTTCAAAAGCCATAGTAGGCATGGAAAGAAGCGTTATAGTTCCCTTCTCTCCCGATATATATCCACAGCGTTTTTATCTCATGGGAGACATTCCGGGTCAGTAATGAAAGCAGTCCACATATAACCGTTGCTTTTGTTAGCATGCTGGTACGAGGAAGTACGGTTTTACTTCGTAACAGTTGGGGAAGGTAAACCTGCTGATTCCCAACATTTATCTTGATACGCGTTGGATTCGAGTTCACTAAAGTTTTCTCGTTCGATTTGCCACATACACACCAAGTTGGAAAGCATTCCGACTACACGTGCTCTCCCACAACGACCGTACCGTTACGGAATGCATAACAGATTTGGCAAGTCTACATTCTCATTAAATAAAGGTATTTCCGTTTACTCCACATTCTGATTGCCTGCGCCATTCTCTTTTTATCCGCGCGTGTACTCAACCAAGACCAAAAGAAAAGATGTTCTCCCAGGTAGGGTTCTAAGTTGGCTTGCCCCCCTACCTCACCCTGCGTCCCTTACAAAACAAGTTGCCTCCATTGGTACTTTCGTCCCCATCCAGGTATGATTCCACCACCCACTGCCAGGGCATGACTTAGTAAAGCTTCTTGCGCTGCAGCCAAAATGTCAGTAAAATTCACCACCCCTAACAACACCCCAAACCCCATCATCATCATCATCATCAGAAGAAGACTCACCCCCAAGAAAAGCGACAGCGTAAACGTCAGGGCGCTCGCGGCCATGACGAGCCCAAACGGGTTGCGCGTGGCGAACGTGACCTGGTCCACGACCTGCACCTGCTGCTCGGGCGTCAGGTGTTGGAAGATGGTGCCGTGGATGCCCGTCGTCAGCTGCAGCAGGTCGTCGTACGAGTGCTCGGGCAGCACGGCCGCCAGGTTCTCGGTCCCGATGATGATGTACAGCGCGCCGGCCACGCCGAGGAACGTGATGAGGCCCATGTTTTGCGCTGTGAGGAACGGGGGTTGTTAGTTACGGGGGTGGTGGTGATGGAGATGATGGTGGGGAAAGGTGGGGGGGAAGACTTACCGGCTGTCATGAAACCGACCGCGTCGCTGACCTCGTGCGGCTCGACGAGCGCTTGCACCACGGCGATGCCCGCGGTCAGGTAGGAGCCGACGCCCATGCCGATGAGGGCGGTGAACCCGTAGATGTGCGAGTCGGGGGTGTTGACGTCAACGCGGACTGTGAAAGGGAGGGTGGGTTAGGCGCTGCAGATGTCAAAGGCGGGTGCGCGGGGATGACTTACACATGCAGGTGGAGCCGGCCAGAATGACGGCGTTGCCAAAGACATACCATGGCATGTAGTAGCCGAGCTTGGGCATAAGGTAACCGTTGATGATGGAGAAGGCGACAATCATGCTCATGATGGGCAGGAGGCGCACACCAGCGTCCAAGGCACCGTCGCCCCTGGTGAACTGGAATAGCAGGGGGATGTAGTAGACGCTCGTCATCATGGTGCCCGATACGACAAAGAGCTGGAGCTGCAGGTTGTTGAGCTCGAGGCGCTTGTGGAAATGTCCCGGGTACAGCCGGTGTTCCTTCGCAACGAGCGGGTGGTAGATGACGACCAGGATGAAGGCGATCAGCAACACACCCGTCATGACCCACAGGGCAATTTCCTGGCCGCTGCTAAACGAGTACACAATGCCGCCGAAAGTGATGGCCATGGCGTAGCAGGCAGAGCCGCCCTCGAAGATGGTGATGCCGACCCAGTCCTGGGTGCGCAGCTTCTGCGAGACCGACAGGGTGGGGGACGGGTTGATCGAGGGGATGCAGAACAGGAAGCCGGGGATGAAGACGGCGGCCACGGGCAAATTGATGTAAAAGGCCCATCGCCAGGTCGCGCTGCTCTCAGCGAAGGCGCCACCGATGACAGGACCGATGACGCTGCCGATACCCCAGATGGCGATGATGCCTGAGAAGTACAACGGCCGCTCGCGGTTGCTGGTCATGAGGGCGACAACGGTGAGCGAGCCGGAGTAGACGCCGGACCCGAAGATACCTAGAATGAGACGACCGACGATCAAAGCGTTCATGTTCGGTGCGGCACCGCAAACGGCACTCCCGACCTCGAAGCCGGCGACACAAGCGAGATAATACCATTTGACGTTGAAGATAGCGAGAGCTTTACCGCTGTGGGAGGGTAGGAGTGGTTAGTGGCCGAGCCCGCAAAGACACATGTTGCATGGGCTGGGTAGGGGACCTACTGAGGAAGAATAGAGATAGTACCGAGACTCATGGCCACACCGATCCATGGCAACTTGGAGACCTCACCGAAGGTGTCGACGATTTGGGGCTGGACATTGGCAACCTGTTGGAGTGTGAGCAAGGGGGATACCAGAGGCGGCAGTGTGCCAGCCACAGCATCTGGCTGTGCATTGGTTCACTCACGATGGTACCGTCAAGGGCAAAGAGGAAGACAGTCGAGAGAACAGACGCGTAGGCGAAGAACCACTACAGGGGTAAAAGTCGCGTCAGTATGAGGGCTCAAAAGACGACTGACTCCCTTTCTCGTCTAGGCCGATGGCACTGCACCTACCCTGAAGCCAGTGACAGTCCTCTGGGGTCCATCATCAGTCTTGGCTGCCGCCTCGGGGTCGGAAGAGCTCGACCGCACGGCATCGTTCTTCTCATCGATCTGGCTCACAGCCTGTGTGGTGTCTGGAATATCGAGGTCTGTCTTGGGCGCACCGTTGCTGGTGGCCACTGGCTCGTTGCTAACGGCCATGTCGTGCTCGTGTGAAGTTGTGATGCCGTCACGTCACAATCCTGAGTTGTGCGCTTTTGGTGTGGAAAGGGAAGAACCGCGACTGCAAGCTGCAGACAGAAAAACGAAAGAGTTCAACAGTCCCAAAATCGATGCACTATTTACCATACGACATGCCACATGCGGTGTTAGGGGAAAGGTGAGTTTTCGGCGCTATCATTAATAAGCGCTAATCCCCGGGCCAGAAATTGGGCGTCTTATTCATTCACCCCCTCCCTCGCCCCTCTCGTCTTCTTTGTTTTTTATTTCATCCCAAGAACGGTACCGTTCGAAGCCGCCCCGGTTCCAGCAGGAACGAAGGAACCAAAAACACTGAAATTACGGATTTCTAAGCCGGGCTGCAGGGAGTGTGCGGGCGGGAGGAATCGCATGGTTACGCAGCATGTGGCATATGCAGTAAAAGATGGGCAAAGTTGCAGTCTGGGAGTGCTGGGACTGGCTCGAGACTGGGTGGTGAATCTGGGGTTTAGGAGATAAGACTCCTGTCTTTACGCCGATGGTTGGAATTAGATTATTGGTTGGTTCAGGCAAAAAGCGGGCCACTTGGATGACGGTTTCATATGTTCTCAAGTCACACCGCGCTCGGTAAGGCAGCCCTGAGGAGGGACCTTAACGGGGCTTGGCAGGAAATTTTGGTTCTTTGCATTTGGAATCCTTGGATTTGCTGGAATCGTTGGAATCATCGAAATAATTGGGATCACGGGATACAAGTTGCCTCCGATCCCGCTCCTTCGGTTGGAATCCGGGTATCTGACTGGGTTCAACACGCAGTCAGCACAGATAAGAAGTGATTTTTAATCGCGCGACTTGAGGAATGGTGTGGTTCGAGTGACAAAGATTGCGGCTTGGTACCCAATTTTGGAGGAACGTGTTTGCTCTGGAGCCAGGCCGGCGCAGACAATTAACGTTTCGGGAACTCTTCCTTCAAGATTGCGCGACGGTGTTAAGCTTTTTCGGCGTTAAAAGGTTATTTTGAGGGCTGCTACGCCTGATTGGCCAAGGATTCCGGATTCAAATTTCACCCTGTGGGGCGCCCGCCGCATCTTGCCAGACCTGTCCTCGACAGGTGCAGCCGTCCGAGCTTGTGTCAAGCCGCTGCAAGGGTCTCTTCCCCGATGCTGCAAGCGTGAGGTGCGAGTTCAGTGCGATGTGGATGCACCTTCCAGCAAAACAGCCACGGTTGCTGTCCGATTGGTTGAGATCACTCCATCTTTTCCGTGAGATCTCAGCTGCGCCCCCACGTCAGATCCCGAGGCATTCGTTTTGCTGTCCTGATACAGACGAGGAACCTTACTGCCTACGAGGAAACCTTCCGTTCCTGACCGATTCCGCAATCGGCGACGGGTAGCAAGACGCCGTGAACTCGGGCAGTCCTACTTCATGCAGAGACGTCGAGTAAAGTCGCCCTAAGTGGTCATGCCATCCCCCAACCCCTGGAAATGTTCGCTTATTTTCTTTTTCATGCCCGCCTTAATACCGAAACTCGTGGATACTTCTCGAGCTCTGTTCCCGAGTTCATCCGTGACCAAACAGTGGAAGGTTGGGCTTCGCTGCATCGGATCTGAGCCAATCAATCATCTCAAAGTTGCAAATACACCAGATTACACAGTACATCCAGTTTCGGGGTGGGGGATCTGGAGAAGTGGGAAACGGGAGTTTAACTGTGGCCCCCTGGTCCTGGCCCCTCCGGGATTTCGCACCTCTTTCGAGCTGAATCTGGCAGGAGTGCCAAGCACGGCCACAAGCGAACAACTCCCACTCCCGCCAGGCCACTCCCGTCAGTCCCGCACAGATCTTCAACATGGATTACACAACGGGGTTCACCCACGCACCCTCGCACACACACACGCACACGTAAGCGACACTATCTACGCTGCTTAGGCAAGATCGTGCACACTCAGCCCACCACCCGGCACACTAATGCAATGGCCCGGACCGGAACAACCGAAGGATGCAATCGGACATTCACCATCGAGTCCGGACCGAGGTGGCCGAAACCGAAGCCATGCCCCGGAAGAGGCCGAAATGTGTGCGCTTTTGAACCCATCTGTCCGTTCCGGCTAGTCGGCGTGTCGCCGATAAGGTGCCTCGGAGCCGTGCAGCGATAGATTATTTGAGTGCTTGCCAGTGATACCGTATAAGATCCAACCAAACTATCGCCGATGCCAATCCGTAGCCTCTCTGAGGATTATTAATGTTTCAGGTTTGATGCGAGATCTGTTTTTCCACGAAGCTCGCAACCTGCAAGCATGCCGGAATCTAAACGTCCCTTCCGTGTCATCGTCGTCGGCGGCGGCGTAGTGGGCCTGACGGCGTCGCATTGCCTCCAGAAGGCCGGCATTGACCACGTGGTGCTCGAGAAACGCGCCGTCGTCGCCCCGCCCGAGGGTGCCAGTATCGCCCTCTACCCGCATGGCTCCCGCATTCTTCACCAACTCGGATGCTTCGAGGCCGTCGAGAAGGCCTGTGTGCCCGGCCGTAACTGGTTGACCCGGTACCCAGATGGAAAGAAGTTTATGGATAATGGTTATTTCCAACATCTACAGGAGAAGTGAGCCAAGCATTCCCAACTTCCACCACATTGTACGAAAGTATCAAGAAACTGACACTTGCATCAAGTCATGGCTCTTCGCTTCTGGTGCTGGAGAGGCGTGAGTTCCTCCAGATCATGTATGACAAGCTGCCTGATAAATCCTATATCAAGACGTCCTCTGGTGTGAAAAGCATCAAAGAGACCCCTGAGGGAGTCGAGGTTACCCTCGTCAATGGCGATGTCGAGACTGGCGATATGGTCATTGGCGCCGACGGTGTGTACAGCATGGTGAGAAGCGTCATGTGGGAGCAGGCGAACAAGGCTACGCCCGGACTTATCACCGTCCAAGAGAAGACCAGTGAGTATGTTTATTTTACCCTTCCCTCTCGGCCCCCACACTTCCCTTACCGGATCCCCACCTCACACTTCTACTCCGCCCGCAAGCAGAGGAACCGCCGCTAAGCACCCCAATGTCTCACTTACCCAGGCATCAAGACGCAATGGAAGTCACTGATCGGCGTAACCCCCAACATCCCCGAGCTTGGCGATCGGGATGTCACCGTGGTCAACGGCACGGGGCGCTCCCTGCTGGCGCTGTCCCAGCCGGATAGGGCCTACTTCTTCTTCATCTTCCGCGTCGACGAGCCCTTCACCTGGCCCAAGCGCGCCAACTACACCGACCAGGACGCCGAGGACCTCGCCCAGCAGTTCGCTGACCACCCCGTCTCCGACACCCTGCTCTTTGGCGAGCTCTGGAAGCGCCGCACCCGCGGCACCCTCATCCCCCTGGAAGAGGGGGTCCTTACCCACTGGCACCACGGACGCATCGTCCTTGCCGGTGACTCGGCACACAAGGTACGGGACACCCCCCCCCCTTCCGCGCCGTTCTTTTCCCTCGTGGCCCCCCACATGGCGCTAACGTGCCAACTGCAGGTAACGCCCAACATTGCGCTGGGCGGCAACTCGGGCATCGAGTCGGTCGCAGTGCTGTGCAACCACCTGCAGCGGCTCCTGCAGGAGGGCGGAGCAGCGAAGCCAACCGCCGCGGTCCTGGATGCCGTGTTTGCCGCGTACCAGGCGGAGCGGCTCAAGCGCATGCAGGACATCCTGGCCGTGTCCAGCCTGATTACCAAGGTGCAGGCGTGGGACACGCGCTGGCACCGCTTCATGGCCACGTGGTTGCTGCCGCTGCAGGCGGACCGCACGACGGCGGATCAGATGAGCGAGATTATTCGGAAGGGGCCCAAGCTGGAGTATGTGGCGCTGGAGGGGTTTCGTAAGGGGCGGATTCCGTTTGATGATGAGAGGGAGGCGGGGAGGGGGAAGGCGTTGGAGGGTGCCGCGGCGCCCATCTCGTCGCTGTTTTTGTTGTTGCGCTCGTTGGGTGCCTTGGCCGCGTTTTTTGTGGTTTGGCAGGGCACGAGGCTTGCTCTGGCGGCTAACATTTGAGTGGGCGGATATGTGGTGTCTGGAGGGCTGCGTTCATTTTGCTCCAGTGTTTGTAATAGAGGTCGGCCGTTGGCGTTGAACGGCCAGCCTCTTCTAGCGAAGAATACAATAACGGAAGTCACTTTCACCACGAGTTCATCAGTACCTACCTGGCCACCTTGACGCAGGAGATTTAGCAGCTGACCAAATCACGACTACCTCGTCCAGCAAACGCCTCTCCTACTGTACTCTGATATTTTTGCTCGCCATGGGCGGTTGCGAGCTTACCTCCTACCTCGGTACCTGTAGTGTTCCATTTGTGTGTTCCACTTGTGGAACCAACAACCCACGCACTGTAACCTGTTGGTTCTTTCTTTTTCGCGTTTCTTTTTTTACTTTGTGGGGGAGAGAACGCAAATCCCTGGTTTAAACTTTCAGCCCAACTCCACCGCGTTGCAACCTCAAATCCCTCTGAATGTCTCGGCTTACCCGGGCGCCTCCATTATTGTCGCGTGTGAAGAGTTGTAAAAAGTCCCCGCCCCCTGCCGATCCTGTGTATCCATACATGACCCCAGGTGGCAGATTAGATCTGATGCAACAGGATGAACACAACAGTGAGAACTTAAAAGTCAGCAACGGCAATGTCCGGCATGTTGGTAAGAGATCTTTGAATTTATGGATGCTGGCGACGGCTATCCAACAGTGCAATCCAGAACTCCCGGGTTCTATTCGTTTCGTTTATAATTCTAGCTTTCCATCTGGCTACCCGACGCATCCGACGATGCAGCGAGTGGCGTCCCAAGTTCCATTCCCACTCCCATTACGGGCGACTTGCGTTGATCCGCGAGGGTCATGCGTATGTCGTACTCCGTCTGGAAGAAGTGTCCGGCCTCCGCCGACTGCCTGCCAAGATCCTCCTCCAGCTCGGCAAGCCGGGTTGCCGCGCGCCCCAAGGGCTTCAAGGCCAGTACCATATTTCTCCACGCCGCCCACGGCCTCGCCTCGGCTATCTCGTGCACCTCGCGCGCGCGGAACTCGAGCGTCTCGAGCATGCTCGCAATGTTGTCTGTCTTCAGGTTGGCGCCCTTGCGCATCCACGCCAGGTACTCGGCCAGCGCGAGGGATATGCCGGCGATGTCTGAGTGGGCGCTGAAGGCCGTCATGCAGTACGCCTCCAGCTCGGCAGTGGCGGCGTTGCAGGTATCGCACACCCTTGCTACCCTGTCAGTCGTGTATAATGCTGAACTTAGCTCCCGGATCTCTCGCAGGCTGGGGATGGATATGCTGGACGAGCTGCGCGCGTGCTCCGACAGATCCGTGCCGTCGACGTGCCCGTCCAGCTGCGTCCCATCCATCCCACCCGCCTGCATCTGAGAGTCCAGGAGCGGCGTATAAAGGAAGTCGTTGCCCAACAGCTCGGGCCATTTGATTCTTGGCTCTGGGTGGTAGAGCCCGGGTGTGAAGCTGGTTGGTGTTGGTGGCGTTCCGAAGGGCGGCATCTGGAGGGGTAGCCGCGGCGTGGACGCAGGGCTCATGGTGGGTGGTGGGCTGAAGTAAGATGGCACCGCAGTCTTGGTGCAGTTGGCTTCATTGTCCATTTTTCGGATATACGCCTCCGCTTTCTCTGTCACCGTCCCGGCTGCGTTAACGTCACGTTCATTTCCCCCGTTCGTCCCCGACATCATCATTATATGTGCACCCACCGGTGCAACCTGGAGTTGGAGAAACCTACCCAAACGTTGTTGCAGAGTATCGAGCTTCTGCGCCAGATCGGCCTTATTGGGCCTGCACGTGGGCAGGTAAACGCACTTCTCGCCTGCTTGCCGGCACTTTTCACAGGCCGGTTGCTCCCCATTGCAACGCACCTTGCGGTCGCGGCACAACACGCAGGCGATATGCCGTGATACTCCATTCATGTTGTCGTACCTGTATTCGTCCGAGGCGGCTTGGAACATAGCTCGCAGGAGCTCGTACCACGGCGTCGGGTAGGTACTTTAGGTACGGGACGCGGCTTCATGTCTCTATGTATCCATCTACAGTCGAGGTGGGTTAATAATGGCCGTTGCTGAGCCTCTCTCGTGCAGGATCGCGAAGATACATGGCCCTCCTGGCTGCACACCAAATCCTTCCCATACTCCTTCCGCTCCCTTTCTGCGGTGGTTCCCCGCGGCGAGGTCCCCGGACATCCCCCCTGCCGGGCCGTGTATGTACTGAGTAACGCACTCATCAAGGTATGCACATTGATATCCGAGGGCGCCACCTACTGCAAGCCCTCCACGAAGGCGTCCAAACGTGACCGGGTGATACGCAGGTGTGAGGCGTCAAAATCTTACACAGTATGTCCGTCCACCGTTTGAAGCTCCGGCTTGCAGGGGGTTAGCACCATGTTTCCTTGGAGGCTGAACGAGGTTAGACTGACAGCCACGCAATACCACATGCAGAGACCTGCCGGTCTGGGAAAAAGAGCGGCAAGGCAAGGCGACGCGCTTCGCCACGGCAACCTCTCCCCGAGGCTTATCCCCCCTTATCAGTTTTGTAACCGTTTCACGACAGCACTTATCCCCGCAAGCGATTCGCCGTACCAATTTAGGCGGATGCCGGTACCACCCCCGATACCGGCTTTTGGGCACTGGAATCACCATGGAATGAACCCTACGGCGAATGCATGGGACTTGGGGTGCATCTTCCCGCACACGTTGACGCTCACACACATACGGAAACTTACGGATGGACACATACGAACAGACACATACGGACACACAGACACCACATGCCCGTTCCCTCCTCGGCTTAATCCCCCCACTCGCTTCCTTCGCGCTGCGGCTCAAACTAAATCCTTGGTCTTGGTGGCAGATTGCGTTATCTGACTAATGCATGCGAGGATCTGAGTCGCATTCTTAGGTACCTACCCTGCCCTGCCATGGAGATTCAAAATCCGTGGCATGGATTAGTTGTTTATCCATCTCGGACGGCCACCTCGTATGTACATGGTTCCTCGGACATCAACCCCGTCATCCGCACATGAACCATCTTCTTCGTCCGACCTGCGCCTCGTAAGTACGTCCATACCTTCATGGCCTCCCCCCTTCTTCCAAGAAGGTCCGTGGGCTCTCAGGCGCGGAATTGCCCTCCGCTGCCTCCTCCCGAACCTTACCTCCGAGCCCTACAGGGCCAGCCTCCCCTACCCCCGTAGCCTCCTCTCACCGGCAAAGCTCAACCCCTGCCGCTCGGCAAATTGCTACGACATATGAAGATTGCGCACGGGTACCCCTGTTTGACAGCTTTTTGAAAATCAACGGTTTTATTCGCACGAAGGATCCTTCGTACAATTCAGGATTCAGGAAACCACGGATTAGACTAGTGTACAGTACCCCAGGATCTTGTGAGCCCCCCTGATGGTGTCTGGTGTGTTTGTGTGAACAACCGCTATCTCTATGACTCCAGTTTTTGCTGCTTCTAGTATGCTTTATGTGCATACAGGCATGCACAGGTAGTGACAGCACGCTAGTATCCCTTCTCGTTCTCCACCAGATGATCTTCCCGGAAGTATAAGGCCATGGACACCGTGGCTCCTGGCCCAATCAGTAAAGCCGACACGAGCAGGGTGAGGAACAACCCGCCCCTCCCAAATTGGGCCCGCAGGGGGGTCTTCTCGAGCAGCAGCAAAGCCCACGATAAGCTCGAGAGGCTGATGAAGATGTGATCGAACTGCAGGAAGAGCCAAGACCCGGCCGTGATGTTGTCGGTTATCCCAATCGGGCCGTTAGGCGGCAGCGGCAGATACATGCGGGCGAGGTTCACCACCTCTGGGTTCGTCGGGAGAAGCACCCTGTACATGACGTACAGATGCGCCGCGGCCGAGACCAAAGCGGTCTGCAGATGCACCGCCTTGATCCACCACGTCGCCGCGCCCTTGTTCCGCCTGCTGGATGACGAGAGACTCGAGAACCAGGCGAACACTTTGGTTGTGGCGAGGATGATGCCAGATACCCAGAACGGAGAGAGCATGAACACCGCAACGATGGTCTGGTGCGCCTCCGCGGACCGGGGTACCCAGGTCGGCAGCATAACAATGGCCGTCGGCGCCACCACGCCCAGGAGGAAACCCGGCGTCAGGGCCCGCGCCCGGTTGACGTCGGTCACTTTCTGCAGCGGCTCCCGGTCGGTCCATTTGAGGTGGGTGCCAAAATAGAGTGGCAAGATCATGGCCGCTCCGAACAGTTGCCACAACACCGCCCAGGTGGCAACTCTGAGTAAGAGAGGAATGAGGAATCAGCAAATGTGCACAGATCATCGGCTCCCGTATCATAGAGTTTTCCGGCTCCGTTCTCACCTCGTAATCCACTTCGGCTTCTGTCCTGGCCTAGATGCTTCCACGTAGAGCCACGAGAATCCCACCGCGAAGGCGGAAAAGGCCTCCACGACGAACAGCTGAAAACCGTCATCATGACCGTTGGTTCCCGGGCAGAAAAAGGCCACTAGAACAGCAGTGGGAATGTCCACGAATGGAAGCCCCGTGTAGGATGTCTTTAGCGGGCTGCCGTCGTTCAACTTGCCCGTCCAGGCCGCCACAACCAGGTCCGTCGCTGATCCGTTCAGGACACTAAAACCCCAGAGAAGGAAACCTGCAATGTAGGAAAGAACACGAAAATACAAGTCCCTCTTCGGGTTGGCGGTCGAAGCTGTGCGAGCCATGACGAGATGGCGTTGAGTGAGCACTGCACACACAAGCCGTGAAGGTAAGTTCCGAGGTAGGGTCGGCGGGACAGTAGGTATGCACAAGATGTGTGCTGCGAGGAGACGTGCCGGCCGTTTCGCGCTATGTCAAAACCGAACAAATAAATAGCGGTTACCCCCACGCTGCCACTGAACCGGACCACGCCTAATCGACCCGAATCCGGGCCGCGGATGCAACGCTCGGCGGCCCCGGGCCGGCTGACATATCGAAGGGGGGAGTAATTCTTGGCCAGCATGCAGGGAGGACAATGAGCCAGCGATGAGAGTGCGGGCCGAGGTGCATTAATTATCAGCCGGTGGCTACACTGGAAGGGAGGGATGGAACCTTGAGATATGCGATGCCGTGTATCGTCGTAGTTGACTTGAACCTCTGCCCTACGCCCTCATCTTGCATTGCATATCTCCATCTGTCGGTCGTCCACCGTGCATAGGTCGTGACGCCCGTAAAATGGCGGTCGAAATCGGCGTTCTCTACTTTCCGGGTGCCCCGGTGGCAGTCCTGCTGCTGGTGGCCGTCTACGGAGTTTACAGATTCTTCCTAGACGGCCTCTCGCGCATTCCTGGCCCTGCCATTGCCAAAGTCACCAACCTCTGGAAGATCAATGCCGCTGCTCAAGCGGAAATGCCATGGCGCAACATTGCGCTACATCGCAAATATGGCCCGCTCGTCAGAATCGGCCCCAACATGGTGTCAGTCAACGACCCGGAAGCATATCCCATAATCAACGGCTTTAGGCGCGTTTTCACCAAGGTACGGATTCCAATCTAGCTCTGGTCTGCTCTATTCGCAAATCACTAACAGATGGCGGGAATTAGACTCAGTTCTACTCCACGGCTGAGGGATGGTACAAGGGCAAGCCCCTGACGACCGTGATCACGGCGCGGGACCGCCAGTACCACTCCTATCTCCTCCGGGTCGCCAGCAGTGCATACTCGGTGGGCTCCACGCCGCAGATGGAAGTCAAGATCCAGCCCCTGGTCGACTTGCTCCTCAACAAACTGAACGACCTCGGCAAGGCGGGACAAAAGCCCGTCGACACGGCCACGCTGATCGCGCATTTTGCCTTTGACGCCATGGGCATCATCAACGTCTCGGAGCCCTTCGGCTTCCTCAGCAAGGGTGTCGACGTCGAGGGCGCCATTGGAGCCATCGAGGTAGCCAACACCTACTTCTCCGTCATCGCCCAGGCCCCCTGGATGCACACCTTCATGCTCGGCAACCGCTTCGTGCAAAAGGCCATGGAAGGCGGCAACCCTGTCCTCAACTTGGCCCTCGCCATGGTTGACAAGCGCCTCGCAACAACCGCAAAGCCTACCACCAACGGCCACCACCATCCGACCCCCGACAGCACCGACTTCCTCGGCCGGCTCCTCTCGACCAGCGCCGAATCAGACGACCCCTCCAAGCCCACCTACGAACAAATCGTCGCCTTCGTGCTCGCCAACACCATGGCCGGCTACGCGACCGTGGCCGTAGCCCTGCGCTCCATCCTCTATCACCTGGCGCGCAACCCGTCCGCCTACACCAAACTCCAGCACGAAATCGACACGGCCTTCGCCTCCGGCGCCCTCGGCAGCACCCCCACGCACACCCACACCGCGGCCGAGGCCGGCAAACTGCCCTACCTGGACGCGGTGGTGACCGAGGCGCTGCGCGTGCACCCCGTGCTGGGGCTGATTTTGGAGCGGGAGGTGCCGGCGGGGGGCGTGGTGTTGGCGGGACAGCATGTGCCGGCGGGGACGGTGGTGGGGTTTAATCCGTGGGTGATTATGCATAATAGGGAGGTGTATGGGGAGGATGCGGAGGTGTTTCGGCCGGAGAGGTGGTTGGGGGTGGAGGAGGGCAGGTTGAAGGAGATGAGGCGGTGTAATATCTCGGTGAGTGTGCCCCTTGACTTTGGCTGACTGACTGTGCGTGGGTTTGGGTGTGCTGACATGAAGGTTTCTTGTGGTAGTTCGGCGCTGGCCCGCGTTCTTGCCAGGGCAAGAATATTGGTATGATGGAGATTTTGAAGGTTGTCCCGGCTTTGATGCGTCGCTTCGACTTTGCGTTGGCGAACCCGAAGGATGAGTGGCAGGTCAATGGTCACTGGTTCACAATGCAGTCCAAGATGGACATGACCTTCACGCCTCGGAAGCACTAGATATTAGGTACCTGCACGGGGATGGCGTGGTCCTTGATGGGGAATAGAATTGATGTTTGACCTGTCAATTGACAACCCGATGGCGTCGATTTACTAGCAATAGGCCAATGTGATGATCACTAGACTCTTTCGTCAACCTGCCAATGTCACCCTATGCTGTTTAGATAACTCGTTATTCTCATGCCCATGTACGTTCAACATAGGTATGTTCCATTTCAATCTTGTGAGTATTGTGGTTGCTCCTTACTGTACTCACACTTTCGGTTACTAGACGCTCAGGACACACTCGTGATTAACATATTACTCGACACACAAATTGATGACAATCACTGGTCATGGATAACATTGGTTGGTGGTGGTGGAATATTGACCCCTGAATTTGAAGCATGTTGGCGTAGACCCATGCAGCAGCTAGCTTCCACTGCTCAAACCGAGCACGACCACCCGCCCTCGATGGGAAGAGCCACGCCGTTGATGAAGCTGCTTTGTGGGCTCAGTAGGAAAACAATGGCTTCTGCCACCTCCGAGGCATCGCCACGGCGTGCCAAAGGCCCCGGAGCCACGCCGCCGAAGAGGGTGGCGGAAGCTTCGCCCAACTTTTCCTCGATTCCAACAACCTGGGGTGTATCAATGATACCCCTAGTGTGTGCCAAGTCAGCCATGTGCTCAACATCGATGCACCCATATCCCCTCAACAACGGCGGTAGGGGGGTAACCTACGGACAGACAGCATTGACCCGAATTGCTTTGGCGCCCTCCTCCTTGGCCGCCGCCCGAGTCATGCCAACAACAGCGTGCTTGCTGGCGACGTACGGAACATCGTACGGGACACCGAGCAGACCGGCCAGACTGGCCACGTTGACGATGGACCCGCCGTTGCGCCCGTCCTTGCCCTCCTGCATGTGCGGCAGCTCGGCGCGCAGGCAGTTGAGCACGCCCTTCATGTTGATGTCGCTGACCCAGTCGAACTCCTGGTCGGTGATGTTGCGAATCGTGCCCTTCTCCATCGCCAGGCTCGGCCCGACGACGCCCGCCACATTGGCCGCGCCATAGATCTGTTCCCCAAGGATGAGCGGTCAGCTCGGCTCGTTTCCCAAAAGGAGGGGTGCGAAGCGGGAATACCAACCGGCTGTCCGTAGTGTGCCACCGTGTCGCGGATCCACGCATGGGTTGCCTCCTGGTTCCGGACGTCGAAGGCCGAGGTAAAGACCTTCGCGTTCGTGCTCTTCTCGAGCTCGGATTTGACAGTGGCTAGCGCTGCCTCGTTGACGTCGCTGAGTGATAGCAGTGCAGAGCGTTCCGCGAGAAGAACAGCGGTGGCTCGGCCAATGCCAGACGCCGCACCCGTCACCACGACCACCTTTCCAGCGAGAGTTGCCATTGCGAATGTAGTGATTGTTACTGCGTAAGACTCGGAGAGTTGTTGGTGGGATGTCTCCGACGGGGTTCGATCCATATGTTAGGCCTAGTCCTATATGAGCAGTTGTCGGGTTCTCTCTGTGGGCTTCGGGCCGCGCCACCGAGCGCAGGATGTAAGCCCCGAAAAACTTCACTGTTGAGCTTACGGTCCGGTCCGAGGCTCACCGACGCTAGCAATCCTCCATGGTCGAATCTTCACCATAAAATGGTATACATTTACGAGTTAATGTTTGCGGTGTGTCATCTACCAAGCTTCTCTCAATCTCATTCACTGCAAAGTGCAAACTAAAGACTGGATCGACTACGAGATTCAACATCAAAAACCAAACAACACAGCCATCATGTCTGCGCAACTTACGGGATTCCCTACCCTCAAGCCGGCCTTCGTGATCAAGGCCAATATTGGGGCTGTCAGTCCTGTGGGTAAGTCACACACGGCTTGTTATCATGCATTGCATACTGTAGCAGTTCGGCTGATCCTGACCACCTCATAGGGCTGATCCACACGGGTTCCACGTCTCTGCATTTCGTATGTCCATCCGTTGCAACATGTCCCTTGGGTGGGTTCCATCGAGTTGATGAGCTAATAATCTTAATAGGAGGTCACTTCCGGCACCATCGAGACCGTGCCCGGGTTTGAGCCCGCGTTCAAGGCCGAGGTCAAGTTCGCGGCAGACTGGTTCACCATCGACCATGACAAGAAGAATGGCCGCGTCGACATCCGTTGCATTGCCAAAACCGCCGAGGGCCATGCCATCGATCTCCGCAGCCAAGGCGTCATCGAACTGGCCCCTCCCATGGCGAAGATCTTCTCTATGGATCCCGAGATGAAGACCACGCCCTTCGGATACACAAGTGAGTGCACATGCAACCTAGCCACCCCTAGCCTGACCATCAGTTCGCACGCATTGCCCGCAACAATGACTAACAAGGTGAAAAGCCGCGTGGGCAACGATGACTGTTGCCGACCCCGCCCTGAAGTCTCTGGAGAGCAGCACCTTTGTCGGCAACTCGCGCATTATTGTGGCCGAGACTGGCATCACCATCGAGGTCAGGCAGTCACTTGTGGTTCCCTCCACCGTTGATGAGTAACCTCGCAGCGCGGGATATTGGGCGGGATTATCATGACTTTGTCGGCGTTATGTGAGGGTTTATGTACCTATGTGTGCACCTGACGGATACCTAGACAAGAATTATCAACAAGATTGGGACAGATCCGGTTTCATCGATTATCGTGATACTTTGACACATGCAAACCGTCATTTGTGGCCCTCATGCGGTGGTGATTTTGCCGCTTTGCGGCCGTATTAGTGGGAAGCAGCCTATCGAAAGTGTTCTTTGCAACAACAACTCAGGACCCGGAACTCACTCTTCGGTCGAACTATAGCATTGCCGGGTCCTGCATCCCATGATAAGCACCTTACACCAAAAAGGTCTCACAATCTCCCTTTCCCCGTGTTAAGGCCTACACAGCTGGGATACGGGTGGATGTCACGGAACTTGGAGAGCCTTGCTGGCCACAATGTTTGTGCAACCCCGATATTTTGATCACGCGAATTTCCGCCCCCACGCGATGCTGGCAGGATCAACATTCTTGGGCATATTTGATCTCGGAGTAACATCAAGAGTCGGTATAACGACCTGAATACATACTGTGTATCTAGGTACTTCTGAGAGGATTTTTTTCTAACAACTACCAACTATGTACCTCGTTTGCCTCGTTTGCATTTCAGCTGTCCCCTGCAGTACATAACCGGTGGTTCATGTGCCTGAGGAGCAGATGAGCTGCTAATTGCCCGTTGGTTCTTAGCACCTATATCCGCGCCTCAGATGCCGCGTTGGTTCGTGTCGTATGCGTAGACCTCCACTTCCCGGCAGGACTCATCCTGCACGGACGATGCAGTCAGATAAATCGTGGAGAAGCCCTCGTTACGCTTCTGTTTACAGGCGACCCAGCCGGCGTCCTCAACTTCCGTCCCGTTGTAAACAAATCGACCGGACTCGTCGACGGTAAATGGCCCCGTGATGACCAACAGGTCGCCCTATTTGCGGAATGGTCAGCAAAATGAACGACTGCTACCAGGCCCGAGGGGCGGGAGCTGAAAGATTGCACATACAGGTTCAGTGATGGGATAATAGCTGTGCTCTTTTGAGTGCAAAGCCCACGTCGTTGGTGTCGTCTGCAGCAGGAAAAACTTGCTCCCAATGTCGCCTTCGGCATCCAGGGCGATCTCGGCATTCTGAGAGCGCGTCCTGGTGAATCCGACACATCCTGGCAGATACCCTGCGGGGGGGCGGGTTTGAATTTGGGCGGGAGGGTTAAACAGCGCACGCCGACTCGAATAGAGGAGGTAATCCGCCGAGGCTGCTTGAGCGAGTAGGGCAGTAGCCGACAGGAAAAGCGACGAAAGTTGCATTGTGTGCGATGGTTTGACTTTGAGGGGATTCGGTATGTGAGTGAGTGTGACGAACCTACTTCAGGACCCTGTCCTGTTAGGGTTCAGCTTCGGTTGAAGGTAATGTCTCAAGGGTGCACAACAAAGACTTGTCTCAACAGTAGGCTTCACGAGCTTGTAGCGAACTGTAGTTGTGATTGCTAACTGGAGAACTCCCAGAGCTCTCCAGAACGAGTGACTATATACTGGCTACATCTTGTGGCTCTCTGAGGCTCCCTCAGAGCGCCAGGGAGCCGGGCCTCACTAATTGATAGCTGCTCAGATAGGGTAAAGATATTCCTGCCCCGATCAATCCCGGTCGATCTTGGTCGATCTTGGCCGATCTTCCTAGATGCATGTGATCTTGGATGCTGCTAAATTTCAGCTCTTCCATTCCCTGGGTAGGTAGGTATGTACCTATCTTACCGTTCCCTGGCTTCCTATTCGCTTTTGTATTTGGATTTACTCGGTAGGTCCATTACTTCCTCGCTTTTCCCGATTCTGTTCGGGAATACTGGGTACCGAGGTATCTTAACAACTCCCTCCACTCCGGCATCCAGTCGTCAACGAATCAAACCATCACATGTTTCACTATGTTTCAATTCTCAGCTGGCTTCAGGCGGCGGTGAGCGTGGAACGTGGGAGTCAATCTTCACCTGAAAGGGAGGGATTTTCACCAATCACACTGCTCAGGGCTAACTACCTAGTGTAGGTGGTTAGGTATCCGGAAAGATTCATGTGCGCTCAATGGCTTCATCACCACCCTCCCGGCCTGGGCCAAAACGCGAAGGGTCACCGGCCAGAGATGAATACAAAATAGGCAGACGTTCTTTCCTTTACACTCACTCTCCTCAACATTTATATTCTCCACCCACCCAGACTCATTTACCTACCTAACCAGCATACCGAATCGCCCCAAGTTCCAAGCCCCCAGTCACCGTCGCCATGCACCTTTGGTCGCTTTTCCTATCCGCTACCGCCTTGCTTGCTTAAGCGGCCTCGGTTAAGTGGATGCTTGCTCCATCGAATCCGCATCTGCAAGCATTTGGCCCCGTCAGACTTAAAGACAACAATGAGCCGGGGGGCGTCGGGTTCACCCCGGACCGGGACCGCCCGTTCGCCGAGATCCCAATAGCGGACGGCGGCGACATTGGACCCCCGCAGGGTGGCAGCCCCCTTGATTTTGCTAACCCTTTTGGAAATGGGCTTCAGTCGGACATCGCAGGGCCGTTCGCCGAATGGATGTGACCCTTGAAAATCATCCTGTCGCATGCAGAGCATTTGACACGTTGTTGACCTTGTTGGTTTGAGTTCGAGTTCGACAACTGTGGCGACGAATCCTGAGACTTGTTGTTGTTCTGGTTGTTCTGAGCCTTCTTTCCATCAATCTTGATGGCTGCGTTTGCCGATTTGTTGATGTCGGTATCCACGCACTTCTCGGTCAGTTCCTTGATAAAATCGTCCCAGGCCAGTTTATCCTTCTCGATCTTCGCCATGCACCTTTCGTAGATTTCGGAGTGCGATGGTTTGATGGCAGTCAGGACTGTGTAAAGATCCGTCTTGAGGGGGTGCTCCAGTCCCGCAGTGCGCAGGCGCTGGCGCAGGACGCAAACTCGGGAGATATAGGCGTCCATGGAATCGAACTTCTTGGGGGTCATCGTGAAGAATTCGTGCGTAAGCATGCGCGACGTTTCCTCTGTGCCGTGCTGTAGTGCCTCGAATGCCTTCAGATACAGCCTTCGGGGGTCGACATCATCAGGCTTCCAGCCGATTCGTGTCATGCGGGATATCACCGATGCCTTCTTGAGTGACGCCGTCAGGAGCTTGAAGATGTCCTGTCGGTCAGTCTTCCACCGCTTCCATTCAGTAGAATCCTGGTCTTCTGGTTCGGGGATGTCCTTTTCCAGGTATCGAAATAGGTTGTCGGGTGCCAGGGAGGCTCGGATCTGGGACTCCCAGACCTCCAAGTCGCCTTCGCCGTTCAGAGCCGGGACCGCCACAAGGGTCCTCTTCTCTGTCGTTGTTGTCGTCGCGTCATCGAGTTTCTTCACAAGTTTCTCGATGAGCTTGTCGCTCTCGGTCAACTGCTTCATCAGGCCCTGGAAAAAGGCCTCAGATGATGATGGAGTTGATGATGATGGCTCCATCTTGAGAGTTGTCGATTGTCTTGTTGTGTGTCGCCGTCACTGTTCACTGGAACAGATCGTCGTAAAGAATGTCGGCGATAAAATCGTCGACGGTTTGGTTGAAGAATTGATGGAATCGCTCTGAAAAGTAGCGATCCAGTTGCTGAATCGATCACCGAGCTGCGGCAGCCAGAACGATCGTAAAGAAAGTCGTCAAAATTCCTTGCATAGAATCTTGAACGGATCAGGTAATTCGCTTGAATCAACCTGGACAAAGAGATTCGTTGCCTAGTGATGGGTAGCTGGCTTAGGGCAGTTTGGACTGTTGGCCTAGCCGATCGATTCGCAACTGTCACGGGCACAGCCCGTTCCTTGTAGGGTTAGGGTTGCACGGCTGAACCCCGAGGTGGGCTGTACGTAGCTCTGCGCTGGTCTGTGCGCAGCCACAGGGTTTTCCCTGAGTGCGCCTCGCCTCCCACATTCGGTTCCTCGTGCAACCACGCAATATACCAGCTTGCCCCTACCACGGTGATCCTGACCGTGATAGTTGGTTGCACCTTCAGTTCGCGTGTGCAGCAGTAAGCGCTACGAGAGAGCGTTATTTTCAATTAATTACGAAGATTCAACGAACCCGGCGAGGTTCCCGACGCTCCGAGCTACTTGCAGCTGCGCCGCGCGGACCACTGCATCGACAGAGAATACGAAGACATACGATTTCGATCGCCAAGAACGCCAAGATGGTAAGTGACGGCCAGCCCCCGGGCGCGGCACCCCCGAGCTTGACACGCGATGTCAAGGGCGACATCATCGCCAAACTGGATGGAAACGCATTCCCCAGCCTCAAGAACTTTTTTCAGAGCCTCCGCGCGGAGGTCACCGGCAGTGAGGCCACCGCTGGCCTTATTGACACTATGCAGAGGGACGCGACCGGCCGAGAGTTCCTCAAGATCATCGACAATGTGGTCGGCACACAGAACAGCCGATACAACAATTTGCAGGCCAACGCTGATAGCCTGCAGGCGACCGTCAACAACGGCGCGGCGGAGCTCGCCCAGTACAAGGAGGCCCTTACCAAGGCCCGCGCCGAGCGGGACACCTGGGAGAAGGCAGCTGGCAGGATCAGGGCCGGCAGCGGCGACACGCCCGTCGACCGCGACGGCTCGATGCCGCACCCGACCCCATTTACCGGCGATGAGATGGACACCGCTAAGCGAACCAGCCAGTTCCGCACCTGGCAGACCCGCATCATGGGTCGCTGGGTGTCCCGCCCGCAGGAATTCAGCACCGAGGGCAAGAAGATCATCTACGCCTCCGCTCTTTTAGAGGGCAGTGCGGCCGCCGGTGTCTTCAAGGGCGTTGAGAAGGTGACGGCGAGCCCCGACAATTCGGATGATTGGCCGTGGAAGACTGCAACCGACTTTATGAACCACCTCGCGCGCAAGTACGCCACAATGGACCTAGCGGCCAACGCGGAAAACAAGCTTCGCAGCCTGTCACAGAAGGACCAGTTCGCGGCGTTTACCGACTTCCTCACGGAGTACACCAACCTTACCGATGTATGCGACTGGGATGACACAGCCCGTGTCCGCGGTTTTCGTGAGAGGCTCTCCCGGCGCATGCGGGACGCCCTGAACATGCAGATCAATACACCTGAGCGCCACGACTTCGAGGGCTGGGTCACGATGGCCCAGAAGTTGGCGATCAACATGGAAGGCGAAGACCACCTTCGCAAGGCGGTTTCCGGTGACAACAGCAACCAGAATCGCAACCACAATAACGGCGGCAAGGCCAGGGACGCCGACGCGATGGACCTCGATCAGATGAGGGTTAAGATGGCGAAGATCCCCGAAGAGGAGAAGTTGCGCAGGGTCAACGATGGCCTCTGTTTCAACTGCGGCAAGGCGGGCCACCAAGCTCGACTATGTCGCAGCCCTACGAACACCGGTCGCAACGGCCGCGGCGGCGCTCGCGGCGGCGGCCAGCGCGGCGGCTACCACGATAGATATGGGAACCAAGGTCAGCCACAGGCTTATTACGGCTCCCAGCAGGGCGACAACGGCAACCAATTTGGGGGCGCGTACCAACAGCCATGGGGACTCAGTGGCCCTGGCAACAACCCTAACACCAACAATGGCGCCTATCACGGCAACCACCGGGGTGCCCCCGCCCGTCGCGGCGGCATGCACGATGGTTACAGAGGTGATTACAGGGGCGGGTACAAGCCTCAGGTCCGTTTCATGGATGTGCAGAACCCCGGCCGCGTGGTGGGCGAGGTCGACCCAGAAGGCAGCTGGGGCGGGGATGGCCAGCCCGCCACAGGGTACGACGACCAGAGTGAGGATTACTGGGGTCAGGGAAATGCCTAGCCTCCACGCAGAGCCGCGTGTGGAGGCCAAGAGCCAACAATAAGGGGAAAGACGAGTTGTGGAGGATAGTTCTTGCGGGCGCCGACGACAGATTGGTCATCAGCGCTATCGGTCAGAAAAATTCCATTACATTGTCTTCCTATCTCCTTGTGAATGGCCGCGCAATCCCGTGTGTATCGTTGGTTGACTCTGGTTGTACCGGATTGGCGTTCCTGGACTTCAAGTTCGCGGTCCGCCATCACATTCCGCTGACGAAGTTGCGGGAGAGGAAACCACTGTTCCTCGCGGACGGCGCCCTGTCGTCATGGATTGAGTGGAAAACGGAGGTCGGCCTGGTGGTTGGCGACCATCGCGAAAGATTGCAATTCTACATCACAACATTAGCGGAGGATAACCCGGTCATCCTCGGCTTGCCATGGTTAAGCAAGCACAACCCGGCTGTGGATTGGAAGAACCTGTCCCTCACTTTCGGCGAGGACTGCCGGGGGCGCTGCCTACCGCTGCAGATGGCCGGGCTGACGGCACCCACAAACACCAAGAAGCAGTTCCACGCGCGTGTCGAAGACGCCGAGGACGAGGGGGAACCCGGAGAACATATAGAGGTCAGCATCGGCCAGCGATCGGCGGAGCAAAGGACGGCGAGGTCGCGCAGGAGGCGGGACTGGCGCCACCGCCAACAGCTGGCACGACACCGCGATGCCGCGGAGGCGAGAGGAGGCCCGCGGTGGACTTTGGCGCCGCCACACGCGCGAGCCAGACTAATACCGAATCAGCCTTCCCACACTCCGCAACAGGCGCGGAAGGCGGCCGGAAGGCGGGTGTCCCCAGTCCGACAGGGCAGGCCACCATTGGTAACCGCCACGCCACCACGGACTGGACGTATCGACGGCAAAGATATCAAGCTGCTGAACGCGCCGAATTTCGCCCTGTTTTGCCGCCAGAAGGGTGTCACAGCCATGAGGATCACCTTCGGCGAACTGGAGGAGGCGATGCGAGCGGCGCCGGACACCGAGTTACCCAACCTTTCTGACAGTTTCTTCAAGAATCTTCTCCACCGCGGAGGCAAGGCGGACGACTACAAGGCACAACTGCCTACCGACTTCCACGATTTCATCGACGAGGTCTGGCGGGATGGACCAACGATGCGTCGTATTACGGAGGAGGATGCTCGCAAGTTTTTTGACAAATCTGACAAGCCGTCGCTGACGGCCGACGAAATAAAGGCGCGGCTTCCCCCCGAGTATCGCGACCTATTCGAGGCGTTTCTACCACAGGAGGCGGACACGTTGCCGCCACACCGCTCGTACGACCACAAGATCGAACTGGTACCGGGCAGTAAGCCCCCATTCTCGCGGAACAGACCACTCTCGCCGATGGAGCTCCGGGTAGTCAAAAGGTGGCTCGACGACAACCTAGTTAAAGGCTTCATTCGACCATCAAAGTCCAGCTCGGCGTCCCCCCTGCTACTCGCCCAGAAACCGGGAGGTGGCGTGCGTATCTGTGTCGACTACCGCGGCGTTAACAATATTTCCATGAAGAGCCGATACCCGATCCCACTGATAAAGGAGACGCTGGACTCGATCTGTAAGGCGCGGGTCTTTACGAAGCTGGACGTCATCGCGGCGTTCAACAGAGTCAGGATCGCGGAGGGCCACGAGTGGCTGACCGCGTTTATCACGAGGTTTGGTCTTTACGAATCACTGGTCACGCCGTTCGGCCTACAGGGCGCGCCCGCCACGTTCCAACACTACATCAACGACGTCTTGTATGACCTCCTCGACGACTGCGCAACAGCCTATCTAGACGACATCCTCATTTATTCGAGAAGCAAAGATGACCACGTCAAGCAGGTCCGCAAGGTTTTGAAGCGGCTGATCGACGCCGGACTGCAAATCGACATCGAGAAATGCGAGTTCCACACCGTGAAGACAAAATACCTGGGCCTAATCATCACGCCGGGCGGTATCGAGATGGACCCTGAGAAGGTCTCGGCTATCGAATCGTGGCTGCCACCGACCACCCGGAGGCAGCTGCAACGTTTCCTGGGCTTTGCGAACTTCTATCGCCGGTTCATCAAGAACTTCTCGGGCGTGGCGAAACCACTACACGACTTGACCAAGAAGACGGCAGACTGGGATTGGACAGACCGCTGCCAAGCAGCGTTCGAGCGGTTGAAACATTGCTTCGCATCCGCGCCGGCACTGCGGATCTACGACTGGGAGAAGCCGGCGGTTGTCGAGACGGATGCCTCGGACTGGTCTGCGGGCGGCACTCTCCTGCAGGAGGCCGACGACGGCGAACTACACCCGGTGGCATACTTCAGCGCGAAACACTCAGCACAAGAATGCAATTACGACATCTACGACAAGGAGCTCCTCGCTATCATCAAAGCGCTGGAGGAATGGCGGCCGGAACTGGAGGGCACGGGCCAGCGGTTTGACATCATTACGGACCACAAGAACCTTCAGACCTTCGCGACCACTAAACAGCTGTCGCCGCGCCACATGCGGTGGTCGGAGTTTCTCTCGCGGTTCAATTTCAGGATTGTATACCGCCCGGGCGCAGCGAACGCGAGACCGGACGCACTGAGCAGGAAGCCCGAACACATGCCACAGGGCGTTGCAGATGACCGGCTGCGGAACCGGAAGCGGCCGCTGATCGACCCAGACAGTTTCGACCCGCTGACTTTTGACGAACGGGAGTCGTTATTTGGAATGAAGATCTTGCAGCTTGACGTCTCCCGGCACATCGACGACCTACTGACGGAGATGTACACAAACTCGCGCCCGCTTCAGGCCGTGATGGGGGCGCTAACGGATCCAGGCGCGAGAGCGTGGCCGAGGCAGCTAAAACAGCAGCTGCGAGTGCCATACGCCGAGTGCCGTGCAGTCGCCGGTAAGGCGTACTTTCGCGACAGATTGATCATCGATCCCGAGGATACGGATATGCACCTCCAACTAATCCACCGAACCCACGCCTCCGGCCCGGGGGGCCACCCTGGCCGAACTAAGACACTGGATCTGATGAATCGCAAGTACTGGTGGCCGGGAATGAGCGTCGCAGTCCGCTCGTATTGCAATGCTTGCCTCCTGTGCGATAAAACGAAAACTCCAAGGTCGCTGCCAACAGGGTTCTTGAAACCACTTCCGGTGCCGATGGCGCCGTGGCGGGATATTTCAGTCGACTACATCACGCCTCTACCACCGTGTAAGAGGAGAGAGCAAGATTTCCACCATGTCGCGGTGGTGGTCGACAGACTAACCAAGATGCGGCATTTTATCCCTACAGCTACACTGGAAGTAGAGGAACTGGCGGATCGGTTCATCGAGAGGATATACAGCTTGCATGGCGTGCCAGAAACCATCATCTCCGACAGGGGCACCCAGTTTGTTTCAGCTTTCTGGAGAACGCTGTCGGCACGACTGGGCGTGGCACTGAAGCCGTCGTCAGCGTTCCACCCGCAGACGAACGGACAGACGGAGCGGATCAATGCCGAGCTGGAACAGTATTTGCGGCTTTTCTGCGACTGGGCACAGGATGACTGGGTGGATTGGCTACCTCTGGCGGAGTTCGCCGGCAACAATACGACATCGGAGACGACTGGCGTGTCACCATTCTTCGCCAACTACGGTTTTCACCCCCGCATGGGCGTCGAGCCAGCGCAGCCGTGCCCACCGAACATCACGGAGGCGCAACGCCGCGAGTTCTTCCGCGCGTCAGAAATCGCTGAGCGTTTCAAGGCGATTCTCGAGAAGGCGACAGCGTTGTCGAAACAGGCACAGGATCGTTACGAGGAGAGCGCGAACAGGCGGCGGTCCGACGCGCCCATCTACCACGTCGGCGATCGAGTTATGTTGAACATGAAGAATTACAAGACCGGTAGGCCGACGCAGAAGCTGGAGCCCCGGTGGGAGGGCCCGTTCCAGGTGACGAAGGCGTCGTCACACGCGGTGACACTGCGGCTACCAGCCAACATGAAGATCTTCACCACCTTTCACGTCTCGATGGTGAGACCATACCGCGGAAAGGGCATCCCCGGCCAGGAGCAAACCGACGACGACGTCACGGCAAACCGGGGGCGGGTAGTCACCAGGACCGATGACGGCGACGACGTGGTGGAATGGAGGTTCGAGGATATCCTGGATTACGGGAAGGCCGACAACGGGAGGTGGCAATACCTGGTCAAGTGGGAAGGCCATGATACACCGACGTGGCAACCGGCGACCGATCTGCGGGGATGCGACGACGCCATCTGGAAGTTCCACGATGCGCACCCGAACCACCCGAGACCGCCTGTTTGGGTAAAAAAGAGGGGGCATGACGAGGAAGGGCGAGGAAGCCGACAGAGGCATCGCGATGGTTACGGCGATGACGATAGGGGGCGAAACGAAGGAGGCCAGCCGCGGAGGCAAAGCCCACGGAATAAAACCGAGGTCACATGATCTTGTTTCAATTGAAACAAAATCGCGAAAACCGCGTGTTTGAACGAATTGAGGGGGATCGGGAGATCTGATGGGTTTGACGGCCGGGGGCCAGTTTTGAGGGGAGGGTAGTGTCACGGGCACAGCCCGTTCCTTGTAGGGTTAGGGTTGCACGGCTGAACCCCGAGGTGGGCTGTACGTAGCTCTGCGCTGGTCTGTGCGCAGCCACAGGGTTTTCCCTGAGTGCGCCTCGCCTCCCACATTCGGTTCCTCGTGCAACCACGCAATATACCAGCTTGCCCCTACCACGGTGATCCTGACCGTGATAGCAACTTTGCGCAAATGGACTGCTTTCCACAAAAGAACAACGTAAATGAGATGCGTAAACGCAAAAGGATCGAAAATTTGATACAATCAGTGCAAAATGCGCTGAACGGAGCTCATAACCTGTGGGACTCGCGATGGCGATGTCTAAGAGTTCGGGATAGATTGGCTGAGTACTAGGGAAGGAAAGCTATCTGCCTGCAAATGTGGGAGGTATTTGTGGTCGGTTGCCCACCAGTGTGGGGCCACAGGTGGGCCCCACCTGTGCCGTGCCACAACATATTCTGCCACCTTGTGGCCGTCTTCAACGCTGCGCGCGAGGCAAGTAACGCAAGGGTGGCCTCAGAATTGCCTTGCCTTGTCAAAAAAGGGGCCCTTTGCTTGTCAAGACCAGAAATACCACCTGTATTTGATTAAGAGAAGGTATCGCCGTACCGTAGGAAAGGTCTCCCCGTACCGTGGTACAAAGGGTAATTCCCACTTTTTCCCGCGCTAGTCTGGAACAGGAAGGCGGTGAGACCGGATTTCATCTGGTCGGGCTCCGGTCGCAACGGTCAATTGAACAAGGTGCCCTGAATGGTTCCAAACCACTGGAATCGATCAATTTTGCAGTATATTCGCTCGAGCAATTGAATCCGGTCGATACCGAACCTGTATGACATGCTCTGGTTGGCTGAAGCTATCTAATCTGCTTCCTGATCGACTCCCTGAGCCTCCTGCGTGCCGTGGTCTAAGCCCTGAGCCTCTAAGGCACTTGCCAGGCGAGCCCTGGTGGCACGGCTACCTCTGGTGGTCTTCGTGATGCCCCCGTGCCGTGATCCTGGTGTTGATGCCCTTGCGCGCGCCGTTCCGCGCCGTGGTGCGCGCTGGGCCACAGCGGAAGCGCTGGGAGGCGTTAAGGATGGTGCTCCAGCAGTACTGCTAGCTCTGCTGCCACCCCTGCCTCCTCTAGAGCCTTTACCCCTGACACGACGGCCTCGAGTACTTCCAGTGGCCACCACGATGGTGCTTCGCTGGGAGGGGGTTGCTGAAGGCTCCCTATCGTCGTTGTCGAAATTCACACGCTCCTACTGTGATGGTTCTCTTCGAATCGAGGGCGCTAGGCCGGACTGGCGCTGCGTTGACTGCTGAGGGAGCTGCGTAGCCAGCGGAGCAGTAGATCGAGGCGCCGATGGATCAGGGGCAAAGACCTCGGTGTTGCGCGGCCAGGTCGTCGAAGTGCTCGAGGTCATCTTCGTACGGCGCCATGGTTCCTGCGCAAATCGTCAGTTTCGGCGGAGATCTACGGCGTTCGAAAGCGTTTACTCACGCGATTCTAAAGTAGTAGCTGCTGGATCGCTGCAATTCCCGGCGGTGGTGCGCAATTGGTTCGAAGATTTGGTGTTGTGAGTGATTGTTGAAGAAACTTGGGAAGAAGACGTCATCGCGGCAGAATTAATGTGGGTTGCCTGCGCGATGTACCTTCTCTGGCGGAAATTGGCCTGGGTTAGGGTTATGTATGGGAAAACGTGTGGGTCTACGGTACGGGAGGACCTTTCCTACGGTACGGCGATACCTTCTCTTGATTAATTGCCAAGAATTGCCAAGAGCCTACTAATCCACGGAATAACTGGCTTTGGGCTCCGAACGGGCGCTCCGGGAAGAAAAGAATCCAAAAGCTTCAACTCTAGGCCCAACTCTTAAGGCATTGAAGCATGGAAATCATTGGATCGCCCATCCCTGCCCTTGTAAGGCCCTGTATAAGTTTAGTCCCACTTAAAACCCTCTCGACTTCGTCCGACATCGCGGGGATAGATAAGAACTCGAGAGCCATCCTTGATAACTGCGGAAACCGATGTTGATGCTCCTTCCACCAAGAAATAGGCTCTGTGACCATTGTTACTCGCTCCAAGAGATAGAATTCGAGCTCATCACGATCCTCTATTGACTCGGGGTCGTCGTAGTAGTCGATCTCGAACAGCGCGATGTTGGTAGGATCAGCCTGGAGCGGCCCAGAGATCCGTGCTTTCCACCGGAACGGAACGACGTTTGCACCGAAGAGCCAACCAGAATATCCTCCAAGTCGCCAAAACAGGGCAAAATCCTTGCCAAAGCCAGACAAATAACCAAGGCAAGGGATGCACACAGAATTGCCTTGCCTCGCGGGAATCTGGGGCCCCTTGCTTGGCTGCATTGAGGTCCCTCGTTTGCCTCGCCCTCGCTTCCTTTGGCTCGTGCGCAGCGTTGGCCGTATTAATGGGAGGCAGGCGTAGACGGATATTCCGCAACGGCAGCTCACGAGCCAGGACTCACTCTTCGGTCGAGTGGCTGATGACGGAGTGGAAGGCTAAGCACCGCAGCTTTCATGTAACTGATATATCCTTTCCTCTAACGCAGCAACTCCACCACCTCCGCACGACCTTCCTCGATCGCCCAATCCTGCGGCGTTCTTCTATATCGATCTCTCGCATTCGTGTCGGCACCAACCTCAATAAGAATCTTAATCACGGCCCCATGCCCATTCATGGCCGCCAAATGCATCGGTGTCTGCCCTCCACTACCCTCATCTTCGCCCGCGATAGACTTCATGTTTTGGTCCCCCGCCACAATTGCTTCGTAATGTGGTATCCAACCCCCACTCACCCTCGATTCTTTGTTCGCACCCAGCCCAACAAGCGCCCGCACAGTCTCTGCATGACCCCCCGCAGCCGCCCAGTGGAGTGGCGTTCCATTGAAGTTGTCCCTTGCCTCAATGTCCGCCTTGAGCTCAACCAGTGCTTTGACAACACCCGTGATCCCTTTCGAAGCCGCGCCGTGGAGGGGAGTCCGGCCCGGCAAGATTCTTCTCCTCCGTGTCCGCCCCGTGCAAAACCAGCACCCGGGTCGTGCCCTCTTCCCCTTCCGACGCCGCTTGAAAGAGCGGTGACCATCCCCGGCTGGTGGTCGCGTTAAGGGCTTACACCAAATCTCAGCAGCAGTTCTACCACCTCCTGTGTGTCCGTATCGAGCGGCCAGAACCAAAGGCGTCCCACTCATCGGCGGTCTCCGCCTCTATGTTGTCCCTTATCTGACTAGGGCTTCGACAGCGGCCGTATGCCCGTATCTCGCGGCGATAGCAAGCGTTGTTCATCCGTCGGAATTCCTCGCCTCTCTATCGGCGCCGCGCCGTGCAAGTATCTCCACAAGATCGGCATGTCCGTGTCGAGCAGCCGTAGCAAGCGGCGTCCACCCATCCGACGTCCTCGCCTCAATGTCAGCGCCAAGATTGACAACCGCCTTGACAACAGCCAGGTTTCCGTTCGCAATGGCCACATGCAGAGGGGTCTGGCTCCTATCATCTCGTGCGTTCTTGTCGGCACCAAGCTCCACGACCCTCTTGACATCGGCTTCGCTGCCTGTCGCTGCGACCAGGTGGAGTGGTGTCCGCCCGTTGACATCCTTCGTGTGCTTGCAGGAGGGGGGGAGTTTGTTTTCGATGCTGAGAGCGGGGAGAATGCACAAATAGACGTCTTCTAGCCCGCCGAGGCCGGTGGTTTGAATGTCCTGGGCTAGTTTGGAAAGCCGGCTGGTGTGCAGCGCGAAGCTGCGCCGTCGCAAGTCTCCGTTGGTTTCGTCGACTTCGGTGATGCGGATGTCTGCGCTGTCGGCGATGGGTTTTTCTATGGTCTTGGCCATGGTCCACATGAAGGTCGCGAAGAGGTGATGCACGAAGAGGGTCTTCAGGGCGCTGTATGATTCGGTTGCGATGATGGTGTGTGTGGTGGTTTCATCGGGTGCTGAGTCCTGGCCGGGAAGGGGAACTTTGGTGAGTCGCTTTTTGTTGTCCTCTCCGGAGTCGGAATCTCTGACTGTCCACCCCGATGCGTGCCCCAAGATCCGGTGTGACTCTATTTCGATGACCCTACTCTCGTCGGTGGACTTGTCGTCGTTCTGCTCCACTCCAATTACCCTAACAGATCCATCGGGCATCCAGAGACGAAGGTCCTGATACAGGCCGTGGTTGTACGAACTCAGGAGCCGGACACTGCGTTTCGCCAGTGATCCCTTGGATCGAAGCCATTCATCACCTCTTTGGCGCGGCGGCTTTGATTTGAGCCTCCTACCGACCTCTTTATCTTTACGTGCTTCATCAACGAGTCCAGAGTGTGTGGGATTTTCCTGTTCGTGCACCGAATACTGCCAGAGCGACCATGCGGCTTCAAGTTCGTCGGCGTACGCCACCCAATTCCCGCCCTCCTGTCGTTCGACCCGGAAGACTATCGGTTCGTGGTTGGGCTCACCAAAAGGTTTCAAGGCTGGCAGAGACCAATAAAAGTCTTTTCCATCGCGGTCAATGAGGTCACCAAAGGCATCCAGGGTCGCCTCAATCGCACGAGCTAGAGCGATGGCCTCAGGGGATGCAGACCCGTACCAGTCCGCCAGGGCTCCGAGGTCCCGTCTTGTGAGAGTAGCTCTGTGGGAGATGGATCCGCTAATCTCTGTACTGGCGGTAGCGAACTGTTGCTTCAACTTCTCGCTTCTGCCCGGGTCTTCGACGGCAACGACTCTCCAGTCCCAAGGTCGCCCCCTTTTTTTTAACCAAGAGTCCGAGTCGTTGATGGAATCACCGAGAGCCAGAGCTAACCAGTCCATCTCATGGCCCCGAATAAGGGGTTGGGACTGTGGGTTTATTGACAGGTTGCGGCGAACGGAAGCCCTCAAAATGGTCATGGCGATAGTTGCGCCGAGTTGGGCGGCCGAAGCCGACCAGTGCATGCTGCGGAGGCCGACGAACTGAACGATGAAGCCGCATATTCCAACCAAGGAGCCACAAACAGCGGCGATGTGCTCTACATCAATAATTGTACTTTCGGTCCCCTTTTTCTTGGCCCAAGGGGGGAGAAGAGCCAGTTTCCGCCTTGGGGCCCTCCGAGATGTCGTGATGACTGCTTGAGATTGGGCGGGGAAGATGGCAAAAGAATCGAAAGCCTGGTCGTTGACCGTTCCGGATCTCTGCAGCCAGACAACTCGGGCCTCCACGCCCTCCACTGGCCGGTAGCTCGTTTCCAGCGTGCTACTCTCCACGACATGGGCGCATATTAGCATGCTAGCGACTAGAAGAACAGTGCCAATCACAGCGCATGGGAGGGCGTAGCGAGCGACGACGTTGTCGTCCTTAAGCAATGCATACTTTAATGCAGGGAGCTCCGCGGCGATGCCAAAGTACACCAGGATGCCGAGCTGGAGGATGACACCAAACAGGGCAATGGCGTAAAGTTCTCTCCTGCTGATTTGGCTGTGGATATTGAGCGTGAGGTTCGGCGTGGAGACGTCGGTGTTGCGGATGACAGCAACCAAGCGCTTCTTGGACGGAGGATCGCCTTCTGCTGTTTTGTTTTGTAGAGCAGGCAATTCCTGGGAACCAAGCATGGGGAGTGCCTTTTCCGGGTCCCGGGTCTGCGGAGCTTTCTGCGCTTTCTGCTTGGAGTCGGATCTCTCGGAACGGGAATCGTGCCGGCTGTTGGTAGGTTGTTCTCGAGTAGCACCTTTGGTACCATTAGCAAGCTTCAAACGGGATCCGCCCTTTGGTCGGCCGCCGCCAAGGAGGCGCTCCCAAAGTGAAGGCTCTGGTAGGAACGGTGGATTAGTTTTCGCTAGGTCCGAGTCTAGACAGCATTCATTCCAGGACTCACCAAACTTTGTCAGGTATACGCCCATGGCGTCCTTCAGCTCCATGATCGCCAACTCTTGGAGAGGCTGTGTGTCGACGGCCTCTTCTTTTCCGCGGCCGTTTTTGAGGCCTACTTGACTGGTTGTGGCGGCTCCAGTTGCTATCGTTGTTTCCGGCTTGACTTTCGACTCTTGGACAGCATCTCCCTCGCACGTAAGAAGGATGAATTCTCGAATCGGTCCAGCACCCATCACTCTGACAACCTCTTGACCATTCCAAAGTTCGCACACCTCATGTGAGGTGGAGGACATCAACTCGGACTCGGCGACAGCCCGGTTCTCTCTTGCCCGCCCGATAACGGTTTTGAGCCATGTCGGACCGCCCACTCTGATGGCACTAACAATAGCGGTCAGGATCCCCAAAGGCGCGACTGCCAAGATGATGTTATCGGCCCATCCGACCGACTGACTCATGAACTGAGTCGTGACTTTCTCTCCAAACAAGGCCAGCAAGCTGAGGTTAACACAATATCAGTAATACAGGCCTCATACAAGAGATTCGCAGCACCCACGGGGCTAGGTCCGATATCAAATTGTTGGAGAAATCATCTCCGTCATCGGCCACGGCGCACGCGGCGAGCGAGATTACGAGAATGAAGTTGACCGGCTGGATGGTCAACATGTCGGGCAGGCAGCCTAGCAGACTGGCAGAACCCAGGGAGCTAGGTAAGGTGCCTAAGGTAATTTCCCCAAAGTCTTCCCGGTCCGCCTCTTTTCGATGGCTGGGAGAGCGAAGGTGAGGTCTTGACGAGGGCAGATAATGCCCACACAGGTACCGACTATCGACACGCTGTTGAAGGGGGACGGTCTGCGCCACTTCGGCACAGTTTCCAAAAACCAACGAATGCGCACGCACGGCGACCCTGTCCCGCATAACCGCTGCAAGAGGCTTCAATATCGACCAATGCTGTGCGTCGGCCCCCATCTCGCCCCTGTTCGTACATAAGACCCGGCCTCAACGTGGGCGTGGCGGGCAACTCGCCAATCGCTGGAGAATTTGCAGCTGTCAACGAGGGGCCAGCAAGCACCGCAATCAGACATGTGGCTTTTCCCCTGTGCTCATTTTCTGTCCGCAATGTCAAGTCTCAACATATCCGCCAGCACTCGCCGACGAGTTATATGAAAGACGACCTTTTATCCCAACGTACCGCAAGCACAAAGGAGGTTGGAACGCCGTCCACCACTGGCCAAGTGGAAATGTTGAGTTTCAAAGAGGGTCTGCAGTTCGTGTCCTCAGAGAACCAAGGGCTCCCTCATGGCCCGCCCCCAAAAGAAGACGGCGACAATAACAATAACAACAACGACGACGACAGCGAGGACTATGCGCATGACAATTACCTTTCGCACCTTATCAGCCGGCAACAGCACAGGGAGCGCGTATTAATCGGCGAGCTCGAAGCTGTCAAGCGAGAGAACAAACTGATACAGAGCATCCGCTCGCTGCGCCGAGAACGCGATACGCTGCTGGAGAAGGAGCGGGCCTGGCAACAGGAGCGCCTCACTCTCACAAACAAATTACGAAAATTCCGGCCTGAGACAAGTCTGCCGGTTGGTGGTAAGGACGCTGCTGAGGCTGCGCCGGTTACTTCACTTCTCGAGCCTGAGCAAGCGGTCTCAGCCCCGAGCGACATCCAGGAGGGAGTATACAAGCCCGCACAGCCAAAGTTGAACTATGTGGATTGGCCGATTTTTAAATCCCTGCGGAAAAGGTCCGAGGGTGATTCATTCGCCATCGATGTTCTTCAGGGCGAACCGGATGATGAACCAATAATTGCGGTACACCTGAGCCAACCTTTGGTCCCAGAACGCATTCGCATCAACTCCCGGCATATCATCAGGATCCTAGACCACATAAGTGGCGAAGCACTATCAGCATATGGGGGCTCCGTTGTCATGACACGGCCATTCAAATTTCTGGCCTACTACAAGGAGGCCATCCAGCAGAAGTTCAGCGAGCTCAAACATAGATTCGAAAGCGACAACACGAGCGTCACCCAACAACTCGCAAGTGATGCAAATGCGGAAACTGGTTTCGTCGACAGCAACGGGGACGAATTCACAGAGTCTCTTGTTGCCTACGAACAGCTGAGATGCTTAATCGCTTTCATGGACGCAGAAGTACGGCTAAAAGTGCACCATCACAGTTGGGGAGGCGGGAAGGCGGTTGCTTTCGCTGACATGTGGTACCTGTTTAAGCCCGGTGACGAGGTCACCAGCCGGGACTGCCGGCAGGTATACCGGGTGGTCGGTACGAGCAGTCCCGGCCACCCTGTGCTCCCATCATGGAACGGGAATGACATCGAGACTAATGACAAGATGGTCAAAACCGCCATTACATTGCGCTGCGTGTACATCGACTTTGACGGCAACCAGCTCGGACCCGTGAGCCAAGTCTTCCAAATCACCCCCTTCGACGGGACACGCGCGATCACATCGCTTGAAGTGTTCCCGATTCGATACGCCGATCACATTGACCACCAAGAACTCATCACACGTGGCCGCAGGTTCCTCCACGCACTCAACGCCAAATATATGTACTACACTGGCCGGACGATAGAACCACAAGAAACTGTACACAGTCATGTTGTTGTCGACTTCGAGGCAGCGCTAGCCCGGGACCACGGGGGGGTTGATGGTGGGTGGCAGCCTAAGATTCAGTCCATCCTTGGCCACACGACGCTGCCCAAGATTGCCGACCGGGTATGCCGTGGCGCCTGCTGCCTTGGCGAGAATGTCTACAGAGACAATGATTTCGACGCGAAGCGTAACCAGGAGTACATCGCTAGAATGGTGTCGGAGGACGTCACTGTCAGCCAGCCCCCCTCGCTCATCCTTCATCCAAAGCCCCTTCACGTTCTGCAGTCGGAAAGCGGCCCCGCCGACAGTGAACTAGTAGTCACCACCTACCGTGTCCTTGGTTTCATTCTCAAGAGCCGGAGATGGGGTACGATATATCCTCTACGGTGCTTACCCCGCATAACACCGTAGCAATTGACTGACGGGGAAATATAGCCCAACTAGACGTCGACTGCCTTACCATTACTACTTTTTCCGAATCACTCTTCGATCGACTTGTCTTGCCATCCGGATACAAAGAGATGATCCTTTCATCTATCGCACAACATTACCAGAGTAACAGCTCCTCCTTGATAGCTGAACACTCTGGACAGGATATTATTCGAGGCACAGGTCAGTGCTCCTTGTCGCCCTACCAGCTTCAGTTGGCATTTCTAACGCTCCGTTCGTAATTAGGCACTGGCCTGATTATACTGCTACATGGCCCCCCAGGCGTGGGAAAGACCACCACCGTTGGTAAGTAACGCTTCTGCGTCTTCATCGTCGAGGAAATATTGAATCTCAAACTAAACTTGTGGACGTTATAGAGGCGGCAGCCCATGAATTTAAGAAGCCTTTAATGACAATAAACTGTGGTCGGTGCACAATTCTTCCACCACCGTGTTATCGGTAATTTCTGAACCTTCTACTAAAACATAAATGATCCTCTAGGTGACGTGGGGACTCACCCGGCTGAAGTCGAAAGATTCCTGGAAACCATCTTTGAACTTGCAAAGCGATGGGACTGCGTTCTTCTTCTCCAAGAGGCCGACGTATTCCTATCAGCCAGAGAAGCCCATGACGTTATTCGAAGTGGTTTAGTCGCAGGTTAGGCTTATCCCTGATCAATATCGTTGTTGCTAGCATCATCACTGACGTTCTACAAAGTATTCCTGCGTGTCTTGGAGTACTACACTGGACTTCTCTTCCTAACAACGAACCGAATCGGCCACTTTGATCAAGCCTTTGCTTCCCGCATCCACCTCACGCTACCCTATCCGCAACTAGATCTGGATTCGACACTCGCGATATTTACATTGAGCCTGCAGCTAATCCAATCTCGGTTCAAGATGAGGGATCTGAACTTTACGATTGACTGGGACGATGTCATTCGTTTTGCCCGAGCGTACTGGACAAACAATGAATTCGGGCGTTGGAACGGACGTCAGATTCGCAACAACTGCTAAACGGCGTTGGCACTAGCTGAATACGAAGCTCAGAGCGGCAACCATCAGGCGGTAGTCAGGCTGGAGGCGAAGCACTTTGAGACAGTTTCGCGCCCGCATCTCAGGCTCAACTCGTATCTCACCGGTGCGAAAGATACTGAGGTTGAGGGACCTGTCAGGGCTTTGGGCTCTCGCGCTTTGGGACGAGAGACGGCCGGTGGGAAGGAGCTTTTACCTCATATCTGAAGCGGCAACGAAAGGGTGCCGAAGGCCCGGGGCTTATTACAGCCCACTGAGCTGAATATCGCAGCGGATGGGTCGACGATTGATGCTTTCTTTCCCCTGAAATCTGAAAGGTTTAACTCAAGGAAGTGATCAGGACTGTCATTTTGTGGCGTTGGTTTCATCAAACGGGCATATATATGTCAGATCAACACTACATCTTCTAGTCTTCCCTCGACGCCATCGTTCACCAGTTCGCCATTCATAACTCCATGGACGTAACACTCGCCACGGAACACAAACGTAACCCTCCCATCCTGCCCTTCCCGCCGCCGCAACACGTATGGTACCGCACCCCCTTCCAACAACCACACCTCATCCCCAACCTCACACGTCTCCGAGCATACCCCCATCCACTCGTCCCCCGTCCGGAACAAACAACGATACAGCATCAACCTCCTAACCTGGTCCTTAAACTCCTGCGGCGAGACCACACACTCCGGCCACGGCCCCTCGCCCCTCTTCGCCCTAGCCACCTCCTCCCCATGCACCCGCAAGTCCTCCAACCCGGGCACCAACACTCTCCTCTCCAAGTCCCCAATCACCCTCTCCACCTCGGCCCACCGCCCCTCACACTCCCGCACCCTCTCCACCGAATACCCCTCATCGCCCGACCGCAACAGACACCCGGAATACACCTGCCCCAGCGCCGCCAGCAGCCACTCGCGGAAACTCACCATCACGCGGCCCGTCTCGTCGGGCGTGCCGCGGTTGACGTTGCTGTACTCGTGGCAGGTGATGGTATGCACGAGCGCCGCCTCGCGGAACTGGCCCTCGAGGGTGCCTTCGGGCCCGTCGGAGGCCGGGAAGGTGACGTGTGGGTAGTGCAGGGGTAGGGCGGCGAGGAATTGCAGGACGGTTTCGGCGAGGCGGATGTTCATGGGCGCTTCGTAGGTGGTTTTGAGGGTGATGGTGTCGAGGCGGAGGCCACGGAGGTGGAGCTCGCCGGTGGGGGTGGTTGTTCGAGGTGGTGGGGAGTTTGAGGGGGTGGTTGGTGAGGAGGGGGGGATGCAGGCTGTGAAGGGGGTGTCGAAGGGGCCGAGGGGCCAGGGGAACTTGGCGGTTGTTAGGTCGGGGACCCAGGAGGGGAGGTTGGAGAGTTTGCGGTAGTAGGGATGCTCGACGAAGGAGAGGAGGGTGAGGTGTGGGCAGTTGAGGAGGAGGGTCCTCGCGGCGTTGATGTAAACTTCCTCGGCGGTGATGGTAGCGTTGACGGGGAAGGGTAGAGGGGTTCCCTTAGGTAGGGCCTGCTGGAGTATCCCCACCGTTGCGAAGACCTTGTCCTGCTGGGCGAAACAATCCCGTCTCCTGACGGATGATAAGGCACCCCACCAATGCTCTGCCCATCCACTCTCCTCGAAGGCCCGGCTTCGATGTTGCCCCTGCATCCCGCTGATATCCGTGATCCCGAACCCCCTGGTGACCGCGTCCGTGTACTCATTGCTCAGCATCTCCCCAGCCAACGAATTCAACACATCAATCCACCCTGCGTGTCCTAGGAAGTACGCGAACCCCGTCATCTCCTCCCAGCTCAGCTCCTCGCCACCCACCCCAGCCATCGTATCAAACTTCCCCGCTACCACGACCTCTTGCACAATCCACACGCGGTGAAAATACCTCCTCGTCCGATAAAACGCCCAATAGTCCGTCCACGCCGTAGCCCAATGCCCACCCATCGGCTCCTCCTTAAGCCCAACCACGTCCTTCCAAAACCGCCCATCCACAAAATTCCCCTCCCTCAACTTCAACAACCCCTCGGCCCGCCCAACCTCCTGCACAAACCTTCCAATCGCCGGAAACACCACGCGATGCCACCAGCAAAACACCCCCAACCTCTTCTCATCCGCCCCCAACCACCCCAACACCCTCCCCGACAGCGAATATACCTCCCCCATCAACGGAATCTGACTGGCCTTCTCATCCGCATTCTTCTGATCAATACAAACCGCATCGATCCACAGCTGCGCGACCTGCTCAAATGACAGCCGCCGCCCATCCTCCCCCCGCGGCTTCAGGTGCCGATGCGGAAAACCCGCGAGGTAGGCGCGGAAAAAGTCGGACAAGTTGCCCGTGCCGGGCAGGCGGCGCAGGTCCGGGGTGTAGGCGTCGAGCAGGGCGCCCTCGGTGGTGGCGAGGTCGTCGCGGCGGCGGAAGGTGCTGAAGGCGTCGGGCGGGACGATGATCAGCTCGACGGGGTCGGGGCTGGGGGCGAGAGGGGGGGAGGGGTCGACGTCGAAGGGCTCGATGGCTGAGCCCCAGGTGTAGGAGAGGGCGGTGAAGCGGTGGGTGATGGCGTCGATGGAGTGGGCGGTGAGGGTGATGTAGGCTTGGGAGAGGACTTTGTCGTAGTAAAGGAGGCGGATGAGGCGGATGTGGCGTGGGGAGGGGAGGGGGCTGTAGGTGTAAGGGGGCCGTGAGCGGCGGGGGTTGGGGTTCGATTGGGAACGCGGGCGTGTCATTGTGGGTGGGAGGCTCACGGTGTGACGGAGAATGAACTATGTTTGCTTCGTTCACGACCTGGTATTTAGTTATGTCTTTGAACTAGAAAGTGGTGCTGACGTTAGGCAGCCATTTCGATGCCCAGCCGCTGCCCAGCTTCAGTGGCGGAGCCAGAAAACGGGTCAGGTTATATGAGGGAGGCCGCCATCACGAAACACCCTCCCTTGGCGCGGTAGTCTCATGATCAATACAATAAACTCTACCATGTTCCTCTTTGGGTCTCATTTCTTGCCATGTCACGATTGTGGCCTTGTTATGTGATCAACTTGGAGCTTTAACGCCTCCCCCGTCACAAACCAGTTTCTCCCTTCTGCTCAGCCAGCTTCTTCTGCCATGGTAGCGGTTCCTTTGCGACTTGCACCGGCCCAATATCTCCATCCTCAGATCGCCTCTTCTGCCATGCGTCGATGTCTCTATGGTCGACCCAGTTTCCATGTAGCCCCAACTTCAATTTCAGGGGCAGGTGAATCACCGCTACCGGCCCTTTGGCCAGATTCTGCGCGTCAAAAATGACAACATCGTTGCGTAATTGGTCGAGATGGTTGAGCAGCGCAATGAGATACCCTTCACCCTCGGCTCCTCCTTCGCGAGGGATAAAGGTGGGTTCTTGAAACGTCATGGTCGGGCCGGAGAAGTAGACGTCTTCCAAACCAAATTTCCCGTCCCCCTCACCTTCTCCGGAAGCACCATTCTCTGTTGACTCTCCCGTGTGATAGTTTTTCCCAGACCAGGTGTAATGACCAAGGCAGTTGAATAACCCACCCGCCGGAGGGCCGCATGCGGCAAAGTCGTAGGGTTTGGTCGGATCCACGACAGCTTGCCAGAAATGGCGGTACGGCTTTGTGTTGTAACGTTCATCGATGCGCGAGAACTCGCCGTTGGTGAGCCAAGTAAGCGTTGGCTTCACTCGCTCGTCCGCAACCCAAACATCGGCATCCCTGGCGTCTAGAGTGCGAATGGCGGACTTTTTGGCCTTGGGGTCAAAGATCCAGCGGGTCGTGGGCGAGGACAGTTTGTTGCGCTTAGCGATGCCGTCGGGGGGCGTTATGTTGTCGTCGGGCGGGAAGAAGAAGAAGACGTTGCCATCGGCGACTGTCAAATCGAACACGATCTCTCCCGATGGCAGCTCGTAACAGCCCGCAACATGGCCGTGGAAGGCTAAAAGCACCACCGTTAGTACTTCGGCCATCCCACAAGCAGCACCATGTCCACATACCGTTGTCAGCCCTAAACCAGATGATATCCTCACTCTTCGCCCCCCGTCTCGGAACAACACCATACCACTGATCCTCGTTCGGATCCCACGCAAACTTATTCCCACCCCTCTTCATCCTCTCCAAGTTCATCTTGATCGGCGTCAACGCCAACACAACCCAATTCTCACTAATCCCACAATCATGAATCATGCCCGCAAACGGCGCCTTATACCAGCACTCCTCCACCTTCCTCCCATCCCCATTCACCGTCCACACCGCCACATCCACACTACAATCCGACCCATCCCCACCCGCCTCATACGCAAAACACACCATCTCGCCCGTCCGCGGATCCACCTTCGGATGCGCCGTAAACGTCGGGCTCACAATCTGCCCCTCAAAATCATACCTTCCCAGCGTCTCCAACGTGACCGGATCCATCGCAAACGGCGGACCATCCTCCTTCATCGCCAACAACACCCCCCTCCAAAACACCACATTCGTATTACTCGCCGTCCTAATCACCCCCTTGACACTCTCATTATCCGTCCACGGATTCCGATACCGTCCAAACAAGCTCCTTCCCGCCCGCGCCTCCTTCTCAAACCTATCCGTACGGACATACCTCTGCCGCAGAGCCGCCCGACCATTCTCAATCCGCACCGCAGTTACCGCACCGTCGCCGTTGAAGTGGATGTCGTCCTCGAAGAGCGGCGGGAAGCGGTGGTCGGGCTGCACGCGGAAGAAGGTGCCGTCGAGGTCGGCGGGGATGGTGCCGGTGACTTCGAGGTCGTCGACGGTGCCTTCGAAGCGGCAGGGCTTGTTCATGGAGGCGAAGGTCGGGGTGCGTGGGAAGCGCGTGGGTGTCGGGGTGGTGAGGCGGTTGGCCGTGTAGTTGGGGGCGAGGGAGGCGGCGAGGTCGTGGATGTGCGCCATGGTGGTGGTTGGTTGATGGGGGTTAGGGGACGCGGTGGGTGTGGTGATGGTGGACGGCCCGGATTATTGGTGGTTTGCGGAATGAAGGAGAACCCTGGAAGAGTGAAGGAGAGCCATGGGAGTGGAAAAGACGGCAAGACTGAATCAATGATGCAACAGGAGTAATATCACACTCTGCAAGTATGCCTTTCTCAAAGCTCGGAATATCTACCGAGCACGGTAGGACTCCAAACCGCCTGGGGGACCCCGCAAATATGCCGGACTCGGGTATTCGGATGCGGGCCGAAGCATGGCAGTGGAACGAAATGGAAAACACCCCATTGGCATAACTTGTGCATGGATCGCCAGCCAGGGCGAGAGTCGGGGTAAGCGAGTGCGGGGCAGGCGCTAACTCCCCAACTTTCGGCAGTCAACCATAATGCAGGATGTCTGAGGGGACATTGTGGTTAGCATGGCTATTAGTGCGAAACCAAGGCGGGAAAACGAAGGGACCACGCGGAGACAAGGATACAGAGACCCGTGCGAGGGATAGAGATGAGCCGCTCGATTAAGAAGCCGGGAAACAGTGGCAGGGCGGAGAATTGCGGGCACGGTGACACCGCAGCAGCAATTTAACACGTATCGATGAACGAGGTCTTGGACTTCATTGTGTTTGCATGTCCTGCTGTAATTCATGAACACTACAACGTTGCCCTGGCTTCGCCCCATGCCCCCCGAGACCCAACGAGGAACAGCTTAATCCACCTTATTCTCGACAAGTTCCGGCAGCACTTTCTCCCCGGGTTTCGACTCCCGCGCGGTCGCCCCAGGCCTGCTCTGTCCCTCGGGCAATGCCAGCGTCAGCGGCGGATCGCTAGTGTCGACATCAGTTCCATAGACAGGCGCGCGCAGATCATCCGGCGCTGTAGGCTTGCCCGTCACAGGATGGGGGTAGTGGAAGGGCACGACACGAGTGTCGGGCCAGAGCATCTTCTGCTCAAAGATCTCATCCGGGCCCAGAGGGTCTTCCGGGTAGGTGACAGTCGGCCACGGGATGTAGTTCTTCTTCGTGTGACTCCAGCCCTTCTCAAATTCTGCGTGCCAAAAGGGGAAGTAGCGGTAACGGAAGAGCTTCCACGCGCCGTTCTCCTTGATGTACTCGTTCTCGTATAGGCCACCCTCCCACCACTGTCGATGGCCACGCGGGTAGTACTCCTCAATGCTTTGGTGGGTGCCGGCCTGCATGAGGGCACGCATGCGGCACCAGGCGTGGGTGCCCGACTCGTCAACGTCGACAATATCCTGCATCATGATGTGGTCTAACAACCAGCCGTATACGGGTCCGTTGCGCCCCTTCACGAAGGTATTTTGGAAGCGTCCCTGGTAGAGGCGCTTGATGCCTTCTTTGCCGCGGTACCGCGACCCGAGAAATTCCACGTAGGCGTCAGGGTGATCCGAAAACATGTCGACGACCTGCAATGGCGAGGTTAGCCATGCTGCTGTGGTTAGCCTCGACAGGGCTGCGGGGCACGTACTTCATTGTATAAACACTTGTCCAAATAGTAGCCGTACTTGTGGTGCGTCTTGCGAACCTCGGCTTCATCTACAGGTCCCCCCTGTTAGAGAACTGAGGACCCGAATCCCGGAGGCAACCTGCCTGACACCCGTGCGAGTTCCTTCTGGAGGACCTGCACCTGCTTCTTCAGTTCGGCGAATTCCTGCTCCATCGTACCGACAAGGGGATTGGTGATCTGGTGGGTTTCAACTGCTTCGAGATGCGGACTCGATGGTATTGGAATGTGATGGCGGCAAGTCGCAGTCGTTGAATGCTACCTCGGTGTGGGGGGGCGAGCGGAATGAAGTACTGTGCGAGGTATCATGGCGGGCGACGTCACCCGTCCATAGTCCAAACCGGGAAGTATACCCAGCGACCAGGCGGGGTGGTGGTGCATTGTTCCGTCGGCAAATCGTCTAAAACTCCTTTACGCGTGGTCGGAGAAGTCGGGGTGGTTTGATGTCGTGTTATTCGGGTCGCTGGTGCGGAGTAAGTCCCGGAAAAGCTTCTGCGCAGGGTTCCCATTGTTTGCAATTGCAACGGGCAAACAGCGACACCGGAAGTCGGGTGCCTTTGGTTGCCTGCCGCTTCTCCATCCTCTCCTCGATGTCAAATGCGTGCCGCGCGTTTCTTTTCCAGCTCGTAAATCGGACCACAGTTGCGCGGCGGGGGTCGTGTCCATTGATTTTCGGGGGTTCAAGCGCTTGCATGGATTTGTTGCTGAGCGAGTCAGTCGTGTCTTTTGTGAGTTAGATGACTTCGGTTGGTTCCGACGGTGTCCGCATGCATTCGCAGGGTCCTGATTGCTGCTGCGCCGCGGCGGCGTTCTCTTCCCGAACACGGCGGTCAAGGGTTTTTCATCATTGACGATGACTCTCGGTGACGGTCCCCGGTCCCCAGGGAAAGGATAGATGATCGGCATTGTAGATGGAGAATAATCGCTGCTGTTGCGGCCATGGCAGGTCCAATGCGGGGTCCCAGAAGATCGAGATCGCCAAGTCAAAGACCCTTTTGAGGGCCTCGAAGGTTTCCGCTCCTTCCTCAGGGACTCGAAACAGCCCGCCAAGCGACCCTCGACCCTCTTTGGCCACCCCCAACCTGGCAAGTCAGTCTGTGGGGCAAAAGAACAATGCTCTGAAGCTGGGAGGACAATAGGATGCACGTCAAGGGCACAAGTCGCCATCGGCCAATTACTTGTTAGTCCGCTTAATTCCGCACAATCCAACAACACATCGCCCGCTTCATGCGCTGCCTGGCTGGCGCCACTCGAGTCATTCCGCAGACCATCGCGTTGTTAGATTGCTGTGGAAAAAAAACATTATCAAAATTAGGTACCAAAGTTCTGAGCTAACCTGACTCGCAGGGGATCCTGTTGGAAGACCAACAGCCACCATTCCACGGTTATCACACAAATGTTTGGAGCTGACAACAGTCTGGTTGGGATTCTTGGAGCAGCCCAGAAATCATCAATTGAAGGTTGTCCTTGTTTCTGTCTTCAGTGGCGGGCCCCGCCCTGATCTCCTTTTATTGCTTCTTGTTCAGCTCCTGGAACCCTTTTTGCACTAGCGCATCGACAGCCGAGATTCCGTGTTTCAAGTGCCACAACTTCCAACAGATCCGTTTGTGGTCAACATCTGACTGCAACCTCGAACTTTGTTAACGGGGGATCGATTCGAAACCAAAGGGCGAAACTGTTGACGGAACAGGTACCCGGCGAACAGGGGAAAGACGGTGCGGGACGCTGTGGGCCAGGGAGCAGAAAGGGTGGAGAGGCGAGCATTAAAAGTGGTTATGGCCATGGAAATAAGATGGTAACTGGTCATGGCTGGAGGAGGGAATTGCCTGGAAGCAGGGGTCGGAGATCTCTCCGAAACTCGGGGAAAAGCAAGCAATGAACAGCAGGGTTCACCGGATGCAGCCCGAGGAGAACTACTCGCGACCCAACGAGTCACAATGCACGGGCGCCTGCCCACAATTCTAAGCTTCTAGCCGCAGCCCTCTATCTTCGGGGGGCTTAACGGTGAGGCTTGCTCGGGATAAGCCAAGACCAGACTCTTCAAATTCTCCCCCCTCCCCCCGTCGTCCTTCTTCCATTCTCGAGACCCGCGAACCCAACCTAAGCCAACCCAACCTAAGCGCTAACCAACCTGAACTCTACCTGTCCCTGCGCGGTGGCAGTGGCCCGAGTAAATCCCCCGGCTTTTCGTCCCCCCTCACTAGCATACGGCCCCGCCCCGGCGCCCCCCTCCCATGCAGACAGACACGATGACGACGGTTAGCGGCACAGAGCGGTTATCGCCGCTACCCCCACGCCACGATCTGGGCGATGATGTGGTTCTAACACCGAGACAGCCTGGCTCACCGTCCCAGCCCCCGATGAGAGCACACAAACCCGTGCGAAATCGATTATCAAGGAGGGAACAGAGCAAGTATGCATGTTTCAGATGTCAGAAGAAGAAGACAAAAGTACCACCCTCTCCACTGCAATCGAGCTGTTCAAATATTTGTGAGAAGACCTAACAGTGCCCAGTGCAACCGCCTACGGTCAAACACACGGTGTGAGGCATGTATCAAGCGCAATAATGTGTGTGAGTATGACGTGAGGGAGGGCGCCGTCTCGCGGTATGCCCACTTGAAACAGACGTCCGAGCAACTGGAAAAGGAGAACGGGAATTATAAGGGTTTCCTAGCCAGCATTTTCTCCCGCCCTGACTGCGAAAAACTCGAGATCTTTCGGAAACTGGGCACCACTGAAAACCCGCTTTCGACTCTGGAGGATGTCAACACGGCCGACGGTCTACACAGCGCCAATGTGGAGGTTGCTAGAATGGATGCGCAAGCCCTGGAGGAAAGCGCCCTCAAGTTGCCAGCACAACCCTGGACGACGGTTGCCGGGGACGGCCTGGTCTCACACCTGATCACAGATTTCTTCGACCGAGACGAGGGCGCACCCTTTGCGAACGCCATCTCACTCGTCGACCCGGAGCTCTTTGTGAGAGACATGTCACTTGGAGATGCCACACACAGCGAGTTTTGCTCTCCGTTTCTTGTTAATACCATTTGCGGTCTACGCTCCGTAAGTCATTCCACGGCTTCTACTTGATGCCCTTGCTAATCCCGTCGTGGGCACTGTTGTAGTTGTTCTCTGATAAAATCAGACGTGCGAATCAGGCCACGGGCACAAATCTAACCAAGTTATTTGTGAGCCAGGCCAGACAGCACTTTGATGTCGAGGCCGATAACCGCTGCCTCAAGACAGTCCAAGCCCTCTATCTATTCTTTTTGTTGACATGTCATTTCACCACCGACAGAGCGGGCTCCATGTACCGCTTGGCAGCCTTGGAACTGCTCGGAAAACTGGAGGTGGAAAAGGTCTTGACTAAGCCCGGGGGTAAGAGTCGTGTGGATGACGAAAAACGCCGCGCCATGTACAGGACGTACTGGGGCATCTTCAACTTTGAGTGGTACACCAATTTCCTGTTTTTTCCCCTACCGTTTTTATCCATGAATCCTAACAACTGCAAGCATCCTCTGCCACACGTATCTCAAACCCCCACCCCTCACTCTGCTGCCACCAGCTTGCCTCTCCGACAGCACAGGCGCTGCCATGAACATCTTTGGCGCGCCCGTTGGCCTAGATCAGCCCCCAGTTGTAAGCCGAATATCAGCTCTGCAATACCGCGTCGTGGTCTACAACACCAATCCCCGAGCGCCGGCAGGGGACGAGATGGACATGCGGGTCCGACAAGACCTCCTCTTCCAACTCAATGCCCTCGAAACCTCGCTGCCACCAGAGTTGCGCTACGAGACCAACCCCAACCGGCAAACAACCCAAATAAAGTACGTCTCAACCCCCACCCCCTTTCCTAGAAAGACCTCTCCATTAACCCATCTCCCTCCCTCTCTCCCAGAATCCGCCTCAACATGGTAGCCTACAACATCCTGCGGCCCCTCCCCTCCACCACCCCAATCACCCTCCCAACCCCCACCACCTCCTCCACCACCTCAACCACACCCTCCACCACCACAACCGCCAAGTCCCTCCTCCTCGCCCTCTCCGCGCGCGACATCCACCTCATGCACAGATACCTAACGCAACGCGCGGCGCTCAAATACCCCCCGGCCCTAGTCATCCCGCTGTGGAGCGCCGTCTTCACGCTGGTGCCCTTCCTGGCCGACCTGGCACCCACGACATCTTCGCGCGCGGGTGGGCGCTGGTCGAGGTGTTTGAGCCCGACATGCGCGGGGTGCGGACGTTCCGGCGCGGGGATCCTGGCCCGCCGCGTGGAAGATCGGGGTGGCGATTCCCGAGGCGGCGGCCGGAGGTGTTTGGATGGGCTGGAGGGGGAGGGAGCGC